GTTGAAGTTAATAGTGAAAATAAATATAGAGTGTTATCTATTTTCGAGAAGCCATTCCATTTCTATGCCAAGCTGAATAAGAAAATTTAAAAATATACATTTCTTTTTATGGTTCTATTTAAAAAAACTTAAGTATAGTTAATATCTCAAAAAATATTTTTTTCGAAAAAAGTCTGACTACGTCACTGCATTCTACACAGAAAAGTGCCTTTAGAATGTATAATTCATTTTTCCGTGGGGGCTGAAATAAACAAACTATCGAACATCTTCATAAAGTACAAAATTTGAGAATCTCCCTGTAGCTTCGAAACCGATCAAGATAGCCACGATCCGTTTGCGCCATTGTAATTTTTTCAAAAAAAGAACCCGAGAGTGCAATATCAAAATTTGAATATTTCTCACGGTTTCCTAGATACACTATAGAAACAACCAAAATGGTCCATCCTGTACAGGGTTATCATTTTAGTTTGACCCACTTTTAAAAGCTTATAACTTTTTTGTTTATTGGGTTAAAGCATTCATTCAAAAAACATATCGTAGAAGTTTCAGACAAGTTTTTGCGAGTGTTGTCAAAAATGACAGTAGGTGTCACATGTCAGATTTTTAAAACTAAAAAAAAACTTTTTAAATGGGACACCCTGTATATTAGTAGCGCATTAGATAGTCCCCTTTTCTCCGAATTCAAAAATGTACCACACATGTGCATTCTTCTTCTTAATTTCATTCAAGATTGACAAAAGCATGTAAAATTTTTGAATGACTGCTTTAACGCAACAAACAAAAAAGTTATAAGCTTTTAAAAGTGGGTCAAACTAAAATGATAACCCTGTACAATAATATTGTGTAACAAATAATAAATATTTTTAGTTTTTTAGTCTTTACTTTTGTGATGTGTGACACGCCACGAAAATTATGTGTCGATTTTTCAAAATTTTGACACACTGAGCTCACCAGGTTCACCATCACTGTTCTATAGGAACCATAGCACAATGTTCATAGATACCAACCTTTCAGACCTATTATAAAGGTGGGCGGTTTGGATAGAAATAAATTTGGATAGTCTACGATTCATGTAGAACCAATAAATGGATAACTTTCTAATACGTTTTATTGCCCTTATTGGTACTTTTATATCTCTATTATACAGGGTCCCGCAACAGTGCGTTGAGCATCACAGAAATTTTGTAGTTTCCGCCAATAATAATTCAGATTCCTATAAAAAATGAGAATTAACGATGAAAAAATATTAGCATTTTTAAAAAACGAAGCAAAACATGTATGTATAAAATTTATAAAATATATTAAAAATAATGAATATCAAATTTATTTGGGTATTGCACGGTGAATCAAAATTTAAATACAATCGGCTTTTTTCAAATATACTAAAATAGTTAAATTTGGTGTGTAGATGTTACTAATTAAATTGCGATTTCAGGTTGAATGCGTATTTGGCTATTTATTAGATTGAATCAAGTTAATAATATACCTAATTGTATATTTTCACTTTTACTATGCTTCTAATGTGCGTTATACTAATTTTTTCTTATCATATATGTTCCATATATTCAGTTTTTATAATTTGTTTGCTAAAGATTACACTTTATGGTATTTTTTATTTTAATAATGATTAATTTTTTAGTAATGATTCGTATGAATTAGTTCTGATATGAAATACAAATAAATATCTAAATTTTAGGTTAAAGAGAAGTAGTTTTGTATTTACAAACAAAAAACAATGATACAACACAAGCTGAGTTTTATACTAACTCTATTGCTGAAAGCTAATGTATAATACCGTATGATCGAAAAAAACGACATCCAGATGGCTTGGAAACGACGATCGATGTCATTTCTCATATAATTTTACATACATATAAAATGACAACCATCTTCTTTTCATAGCCATCGCTGACGCCGTTTTTTTTCGATCATTTTGTATTATACTGATAAGTTTTATAATTATGTGCGTTGTTTTGTTTTGTTGACATAATGTATTTATGCCTTTTTTTCACTGTTATTTTATATTATTTTATCTTAAGGGTGGTATCCGTTTTGAAATACGCCTTCATCGAAATCTTATGGATAGTTCTGTGATACTAACATACGTATATGCGTAGTAAGGCAGAGCCCGATATGTCAACATTATTTCACATTTGGCAAATCGGGTTTTGCCTTATGCTGAATTCTGCCTTAAGCCGTATCGTTAAGACGTAAGGGATATCGAACCTTAACAATGAAACGATTCCGTTCATAGATATTCTTATGCCATATGCCACAAGATGTAATTTGACAGGTATTTCTACAACATTTAGAATATTATTTCACTTCTGTCCCAAAAATCGTATTGTCCGTGTCCATTTTAGCTCAGTTAAATTAATATTAACAAAATAAATACCGAATATTATAGTTTTATTCCCAACTCAGCAATATAACCTATTAAAAACGGTAAAGCGCACTCAGATAAATGAAACATAAGAAATGTAGCAAATAGCTTAGTTGGCGGGAAAAATGCCTGGGACAAAATGCCTGAGTCCCAGATGATGCAGAGTCTAATAGAAGAAGCTTAAGGACAACGGCCGGATTGAAGAAATGCGAAAGCGGATTTCAATGCGGTTCTGTCGCAGGGCAGAAGAGGTTTTTTTAGCCAGTAGGAATCCGGCACTATTCAATGGCGGTTTTTCCCTTAAACAAGTTTAGATTGGAAAGTGCCCATAAGGACAATGTAAATACTATTTGGCGCTGTTCGTGCAGCGGATGTGATCCAAAGCTCTTGATAATTTCGGAGTGGTTCGGTATAATTATATTGGAAAATATTTTTTACTCAAACGCATTATTACTTTTTTTATTTTCAAAAATAAAATACTCTGTATTACATATAAAAACAACTTTATTTTATATAAAAACATGTATGAAATCCCTAAAATATATTAAAAAAAACGTAAAAACAGCGTTGTGAAGCGTGAAGCAAAAAATGTATGACCATAATAATACCTGTAACATTTGTTATGTTGGACCGATCACAGTTAAAAACTTATCCCCCGTGTTTAACAGTAAAAATTCAATATTGCAAAATATGTGGATCACTTTTTGGAAATCGATGTTCTGCCCACGTTGGTTTTTGTAGTTCACACAGCAGTTCTTAAGTTTTTTCACAGTCAATCTTACTAATACAAAAGTTAGGAGAATTTAGCCCTCTACAACTTCTTATATAAATGTGCCACTTATTTTGATCAGAAACGATCGAAAAGTTGAAAAAATCACCATCTAACGTTTTTGTTAATAAACAATATACACACAACCAAACTTATATGGAATCACTCTTTATTTCTGACTAAATTTCTTGCAAGGATAAAAATTGGTATACAACTTTAAGATAAGGCTTTTTGTTGTAAATAAACATGCTAATAAAGAATAAACGACTGCTGCGATTTATTTTCTTTTGAATTTTGTGTTCAATAGTAAAATCACGATTGTCCGGTAATTTTCATTCAATCCAAAAAAATTAAAAAATGCCTTATATTGGATTAACAGATGTATAGAGGGGAAGAATTATTGCTCTCACCGAACAAGGAATGCTCCACAGAGACGTAGAATAGATAGTACGCGTTACCAAGGGTGTTGTATCGAAAACATATGCAAGATACTTGGAATTAGGAACACACAAGGATAGGCCCATACAAAGTCGTCGAAGAGTCACAACTGAATAACAAGACCGCCTTGTGTGCTAAATTGCTAGAATAAATCCCAATGTCTCTCATCCAGAGCTACAAAGACAACTTCTGTCAGCTACAAGTGTGAACATTTCAGTTGAAATCATAAGAAAAGGCTTCGTGCACGAGGGTTTTACAGTAGGAGAGAGTTACGGATCCCACAGTTATCTCGGCAAAATAAAATTGGCCGGCTAAATTGATGCCTTCAACATTAAAACTGGACAACTGAGAATTGGCAAATTGTTCTTTTTTCGGATGAGACCAAAATTGGCCTAAGATCAGATAACCATCGAATTCGGGTTCTCAGAGCTCCAGGAAGACGAGCGAGACTTCAGGATGCCAAATCTGTACCAAGATATAAAGGAGGAACTGTAATGTTCTGGGGAGGTATTATATTAGGAGCAAAAACTCCATTGTTACCACTTCAACAAATTTTAACGGGTCGGAGACATGTAGATTTGGTGCTAGAACCAATAGTTAGTCTTTGGAGAGCTGCAACTGGGGATAATTTTAAGTTCATGCACGATAGTGCACCAAACCAAACCAGCAGAGTGACTAGAGAATGTCTTGAAACGGAAGGTGTCATAGTTTTGGACTGGCCTGCCTATTTACCAGATCTAAACCCTATCGAACACTTGTAGGACTAGCTCAAAGGAAGTGTTAGAGCTCGTCGAAACAATCCAGGAAATCTCACACAGCTTATTGATGCAGCATTAGTATAATGGGAAAACATACACCAAGACAACGCGGATAATTTAATAGAAGCATACCAGCGCGGATAGAAGCTTGCATAAGGGCTAAAGGTGGCAACAAGGAATATAAAATTATCAATTTTCTTTTTGTTTATGCTTTTTGGCCATTAAAAATTTAAATCTTAATTTCGTTTCAGAAACCAAAAAAATGCCATTTTGTTTATTTTGGGAACTGATGAATTTTTTTTATTGCTATATCGATTATTTTTCATTAAAAGTCATTGGTAAGGACTGAGTTTTATTCATAAACAGAAAATTTTCATACATCTCAAAAATTATGAAAAATAAAAGATGATTCCATATAAGTTTGGTTGTGTGTAGGTGCTTTAACCTAATATTTTTTTACAAATCTCTATATGTATGTATATGTTGCAGGCAGATGCCGAATTTCGGCCAATGTCCAAAATAATTAGACATATGGCGATTTGTCCATACTAAACTTGCCAGGGGGTTAATCTTTTTTTGGTGTAATATAACAACAAAAGATTAACACCCTCCGCATAGAAGTTGAAACCAAGCAATCAAAACTCTTCCGCGTAACTTTGTGGATATAGGTAGGTATATTATTTAATTATAATCGCCATAATATTCTAATTTTCGGCATCTGCCTCCAACGCATCGACCAACGGAATTTGACGTACGTGCACGGACGCGCAAACTCCGATGCAATGTAACCGCCTGCGTAGATAGCATTTGTTTGTTTTTTGATGCGTGCACGTCTGAGCACGTACGACCAAAGAAACGCACGGATACGCATCCAATGTAACCACGGGCTAACTGTCTATTTGTTATTCTTTCGTCGAATTAAGTTATTGGGCTAATAAATATCCTCAGTTTGTTGTTTTATACTCTCGTACTGACCTTGGTCAGCATTAAATAATATATCCGAAATTAAATGTTGTACCACGTTTCTGGTTTCGCGAGAATAAGATTTCAGTTTGTTTCCCACAAATAAACCGAAACTTTCAGATTCATCTGGCATTGTCCTTACAGATGTTTCGGTTGTTTCGTTGCATCTCTTTAGAACAGCGTAAGTAGAAATAGCTGGTTCTTCTGGTATTTCAGTGTCAGTTTTTATCTTCATCAGAGGTGTAGGATTCTCATATTCCTTAACGGAAGAATCACTTGACATTTTTTCTTCATTCTCACTGAAACCTTCGTTAATATTTTCGTCAATTTCTTGAGAATATTTTATCTGAAAGTAAATTTAAAAATTATCGATATTTTTTTATTAATTTAATAAAGTATACAGAGAAGACCAGGCTACTAGTAACATAGCAAGTTGCCGGACGAATTTACGTTTACCCGTTTTGCGTTCGTACTCGAGAGCCACTGCCGGCTAGTCGGCTGGTCAGGCAGTACGCAGTTGCAGTTGTGCTGTTGTGGATGGGTTGGTCGTGACAAACTAGGAATATGGCGCGAGGAGTGTCGTGTATTTATTATTTTCATTTTAAGTGTTTACCTTCACTTAAGGTAACATTTAAAATAAAAATACTTAAATATTTATTATTTGAATGTGTTTACAAGCCAGAACTAAAAATAAATAAATTCTCTAAACCCAAAAAAACTATAATATTACTCTAAATAAAAAAAAGTTATAACAAGTGTTCAAAAAGAACACCTTCTTGTGTTAGAATGAAGCCTAGGCGGTCGTAAAATCCCCGTCTGACATTGGCTAACATATTAGGGCTAATAGTTTGGAAAGCCTCTCGTATTTTTACTTGCAGCTCATCCAGATTATTAGCCCTATTATGACCATACACTTTGGATTTTACATAACCCCACAAAAAGAAATCATTGGGAGAAAGATCTGGTGATCTAGCTGGCCACAAAATAGTTCCATATCCACTAATTGAACGGTTGGGAAAAGTATTGTTCAAATATTCTTGAACAATACGGGCATTGTGGGTAGCTCAGCAATATGATTACTTGACAACGTGGGATTTTGATCCGCGGTAGCACAAACGAACACTTGCTTTAACTCCTGTTCTTCATTAATCGACACATCAGGCTTTTTGTGTTTTTGTGGGGACATGCACCCATGTGTTTCAAAATTATTAATAACTCTTGATATAGTAGATAAAGATGGAATTAGCCTGTTTACAAAAGTTTGTGGAAAAATTATTTGTATATCCCGATAAGACCTATTTTGGAAATACCATTTTACAATTAGAATTTTCTCACGAACTTCATGAACATCCATTATTTTACTTAAAAAATAAATTTACACTAGAACTGACGCGAGAATCTACGTATTCGTTTTGGCTATTAAAACACCAATAAATACAAATTATGAAACATTCTTATCACATATCGACCTATTTTTATTTTATCGCATTTTTTCGCCTGCTTTTTATCCGGCGGACGGGTATACGCTAATTCGTCCGGTTCTGCCTATGTTACTACTAGGGTGGTCCGGTCTGTATAAAATTGTACAGGGTGATACATAATAGAGAACATAGGTGGTAATCGCGAACGATAGAACTTTAGAAGTAAATAGGCTATGAGAAATCGTTGTAGCCTATGTCGGTGGACTTATGGCGGGTTCATGCAGTCAAATAAAATAAAATAAGAATAAAACAAAATAAGAAATAAGGAATCCTTATTTGTCAGCGTTCATACAGCCAAATAAAATAAAATAAGAAATATACAGGGTGCCGCACCTCATACGCCTCGGTTGATTATACGAAAACGGAAAGATGTAGAAACAAAATATTTTATGGGTATATGTGGGGAGGCAGTGTGTACAATTTAAAATTGTTTTGAAATATATAGGGTGTTTCAGAACTAAGATCCATACCACAGTAATATTTTTTCTTATGGAACACACACCTGGTATTTTATTTCATCTTTGGATTCTTGGGCCCAAAAAAGGCATTTATTATAATGGTTAAGAATGTTTAAAATCTTTGGCTTTTTAGATATTAAAAGATATTTAAATTTGCATGCTACAATAGAATAGATTATTAACATCCTGTACATTACTTTTCAGAATTAATTCTTATGCTGAGTTTAAAGGTAGAGAAATAAACTTTACCGAAAAATGGTATTGCTTCCTTAAATTTATACAGGGCTATCAAAAGTTGCTGATCTATTTTAAGGATATATGTTATATAAAAACTTTGTTATTTCAAATGCAACACTCTGTATTTTTTTAAATAAATCGAAGCAGATTCAAATGCTCTTTCAAACTATATTAGGGTTTCCTATACCTATCTAGCTCAGATTTTGAATAAAAAGCGATTTTTAAATAAAATTGCAATCAAGATGGCTGGTATCGCCATGGCAATTTTCTAGCTACAGTTAGTAACTGTTTTCAAAGTCGACATTAGTTTATGGACATTATTATTTATAATTTATAACAGTTTAATTAAATTTACCTACAAAGCAGTATGTGCTAGCAGAACGAATATAGACATTTTAAAACATTTTCCGATGTACGTCATCAACTTTGAGTGACAAGCGATGGCGACAGCGCTGCCAGATAGTGATGGATTTATGAGAGGAATCTTGATTTAAAAGTGACAAACGATATATTTAGTATATAATTTTTATATATTTTTTAAGGCAGCAGCTACTCGCTACAAATTGAAATAAGTAGAAATAACTTGAAAGTGGTATAATATGTTTACCAATCAATCTTATTTCTCTGACTGCATTCAAGGGTAATAAAGGACCTTTACTGTCACGTTCGCGCTCAAAATATTTATCAGGGAAGCTACAAGCGCTTTGCTTCGACTGTTTAAAGGCTTCGATATATTTTCAATTCACAATTTCAAAAAATGCAGTAAAAAATCTCGAAAATTTAGTTCTTAAAAGAATTGTTCGTGCTTAGAAGTACAATTTAAAAGAAAAAAAAAACTATGAAAAACTGCAAAAAACGAGAATTACTCCCAAAAATTCAACAACACGATATTATGCAAAATAATGACTGACACTAGGATAATTGTCAAATAATACACGACAATATTTGGACAACATTGCTAAACATGGCGCAATGTGACCAACAAGGCGATAATAAAAATCGGTTCAAACTAATGTTTGCAGCTTTAATCTAAATAAAATATATGTTACAATCATTTGCTCTATAAAGTATAATGAAGAGTTGCTTGGTATTTTAAATTTGTCAACAAATTTAAATATTTTTGCTAAAATTTCATTTACTCAGGTTTATAGGCTTTAGTGTCAATTTCGATGTGATTGATGACGTGCATCGGAAAGTGTTTTAAAATTTCTATAGATATGTTACTAGTGATTTTATTTTGTTAGGAAAATTGCTTCTTGGCCGCACGGGCTTATGCTCAAACATATCCAAATAAATCTTCCTGATAAGCGTTCCTTTGAAAAACTACTTCTCCTATTTCGCAGAGCTGGTAGTGTGGTTTGTTAAAAACCTATTAGGCAGAAACCTGTCGTTGGAAGTGAAGAAAATGAATTTGTCGTAATTGGCTCTTTTATAGAAAATCCATATATCTACAAGTAGTAACGGTAAAATAAATCAAAGATTCTTCGTTTTTCTTGATTGAATAATAAATACATATTTAACAAATATTATTTATTAAACTATTGTAGGTAAATTAAATAAAAGTAAACTGGTATAAATTTAAAAAAGCCCATAAATTAATTTCGATTTTGCAAATAGCTAGTAACTTTCACTAGAAACTTGCCATGACGAAACTAGCCCTCTTGGTTGCAATTTTTTTGAAAAAAAAAATGCTTTAAAATGCTCTTTATTCAAAATCTGAGCTAGATAGGTATAGGAAACCCTAATATAGTCTGAAAGAGCATTTGAATCTGCTTCGATTTCTTTTAAAAAAATACAGGGTGTTGTATTTGAAATAACGAAGTATTTATGTAAAATAAATTCTTAAATCAATTTTTGACACCCCTGTATAAATTTAAGGAAGCAATAACATTTTTCTGTCAAGTTTATTTCTCTACCTTTAAACTCCGCACAAGAATTAATTCTGAAAAGTAATGTATAGAGTGTTGATATTCTATTCTATTGTAGAATGCAAATTTGAATATCTCTAAATATCTCAAAAACCAAAAATTTTGAACATTTTTAACACTTATAATAAATGTCTTTTTTTTCGTCCAAGAATCCAAAAATGAAATAAAATACCGGGTGTGTTCCACAAGAAAAAATATATCTTTGGTATGGATCTTAGTTCTGAAACACCCTGTATATTTCAAAATAATTTTAAATTATGCACATTGCCTCCCCACATATACCCATAAAATATTTTGTTTCTACATCTTACCGTTTTCATATAATCAACCGAGGCGAATGAGGTGCACCACCCTGTATATTTGTTCGTGGGCAGTTCAATTAAGCTGGATAAAAGTTAACTTTAATGATTGTTAATAGTAATTATACTATTTATAGTATATTTATTTATTCGATGCATACTATATTATAAATTTATGCTTAGGTAAAATTATAAAATAAACTAAATCTAATCTAAAAAAAAATATTTGTAGGCTAAAATTAAACGTGCGCAAAGCCGTTTTCCACATAAAATAAAATAAGAAGTTAAAACATAACAATCTAACTTTCTTATTTTATTTTATTTGGCTGTATGAACCCGCCATTAGCGTACGTCCATAGTGCACCGGCTTTACGGTGGCCGGCTTATCTCGCGGCAGGTCTTATCGCTTTGTGAACTTGCGCCATTGAAGCAGGTAGTGGCCATTAACAACCGCTTGCAGGAATGTTATTTGGCATCATGAAGCTATCCCGTGGGGATCTATTATGTCTTTTTATTAGCTAGTGATCTTCATATTAAACTGATGCAAAAAAGTACCACTCGCGTTTATGAAATTGATCGGTCTCATTTTGAATTTGGTAAATATCATACGTTATATCTACAACTCACAGTTCACCAACCATAAAAAATTTTACGAATATTTCCGCATGGAGAAAAAAACGTTGAAGTACATTTCCAACAAAATTGAAAATAATTTAAAACAAAAAACTGCAATTTTCAAAATGTATAGATTTACACAAGATGGTTTTCGAGTGAAATCGATTAATTTTTAATAATTTTGTAAGTAAATAGCTTGAATTGTGCTAAAGCATAATCTTTGGCTCAGCTTAACCAGCGGCGTAACTAGTTTTTTGAGCTTTCATTCCTGAAATATGCCTCAACTTATGTTTTGTTAAATGGGACACCCTGTATATTATTTTTATTTTATTTACTTGGCATTTGAATAAACATTTTAAAAATATAATATATTCTATACTTATTTTAATAAACAAGGTAAAAAATAGGTATATTTAACTATTTTATTTGCCTTGTTATGAGCTTTCTAAAAATATATGATGCTCTGTAATTATTTTTATAATTAGGTTAAAATTAATTTTTTATTTTTTTTTTAAATAAATAATCCTCGTTTAAAAGGGTATTATTATTTAATTTAATTTAACCAGATAATTTTGCTTTCGATCGTTCTCTGAATAAACTGCACTGAAAATAAACATATGCAGCTCTTAGATAACACGCTCTCAGGGTGCAGCCACACTATCCTAAAAACGGCGTATCGGCGTAACGGCGTAATGACCTTGAATAGATTTCCAGTAATTCTATTGGCTGAAACATTCATCTGTCAGAAATTTTATCTGTCAAATTCATCTGTCAAAAATTTCAGCCAATAGAATTACCGGAAATCAATTCAAGGTCGTTACGCCGTTACGCCGATACGCCGTTTTTAGGATAGTGTGGCTGCACCCTCAATCAGAGTTATTGGTATTTTTAATGCACTTGTGCAACAATTCTACGCAGCATCTAGCGTGGAATAGCCAATAATCAAAATTTGACGTCGAATAAATTGAATAAAATGATAATACCCTTTTAAACTAGGTTTATTTGTTTTAAAAAGTTAAAAAGTACACTTTTTTTAACTTGTTTATGAAAATAAGTTTGGGGTATGTTAGTGGCTCAGTTTTTAATTTTTCGATAAGATTCATTGTAATAAGATAACCGAGATAGGAAGAGTGTCGAAAAATGCAATTAAAACAAAATAATGAAAAAAAAAATGAAAAAAAAATATTTCAAATATAATTTAATTCTTTCCTTTCTCTTGTGGTACGGAGTGTCCACATTTCATTGTACGCTTGGTTAGAAACTTATATTAGTTATTAAAATTGGCTCAGCCAAATGCAAAATAATATTTTCAAAATCAGTACTACGATTAAAAACACTTACGTTGGAAGTAGCATTTGGATGTGGCTTTCTCTGGTTCAAAAACGCCATCGGTTTATAAGCAAACCAATTACTAACATAAATATCTCCAGGGCCTAAAATCATACATTTATATTTTCTAAATTAATTCGGCCATTCTAAAATAATTAACAAAACATTTTCAGAGTGGCTTACTCTTCGAAAAACTCCATATTATTAGGGTTTCTGAAGAGAAGACCATTCATACGTTCATATTTCATATAGGGTTTTCCTGTGTAAACCGATTTTTATACCGAAGCCCTTGCGTGTGGGTAATAAAACTATACAGTAGAGCGGCAAAGATTGAACGAGTCGGTAATGTGAACGAGTATTAAAAATGAATCGTGAGATTCAATTCACCGTTTAGAATTATGGTTAGTTCAATCCAATCGTAGCCAGCATGGTGTTGTATTATTGTTTAGAACATCGAGACTCGGCTTGGGAATAAACCAGGAGAAAACGCAAAGCTTAGTAAAATTTAATTAAAAAACGGCAGACTACAGATTATTATCGTTGTCACGATATATACACATAATGCATACAGCCCAAATTGTCTGGTTTTCTTCACACGAATCCGAACGAACGAACGAGTCATAAGAATTGAATCGGATCACAATGCGACTCTTTCGTTTCTACGGCTCGTTCGTTCAAAGAGTCGCGAGGATTGATTCATTGCTTACAATACGGTTCGTTAAATTGAATCTTGGCCAGCACGGATCAATAAAACTTGAACGAACGCGTCGTAAAAAAGAGGCGTAAGAATTGAATCGGATCACAATACGACTCGTTCGTTTCTACGGTTCGTTCGTCCAAAGAGTCGTGAGAATTTATTCATTGCTTACAATATGGTTCGTTCAATTGAATCGTGGCAAGTTGAACGATCGAGTCGTAAGACTTAAATCGGATCACAATGCGACTGGTTCGTTTCTAAAGCTAGTTCGTTCAAAGAATCGTGAGATTTGACTCATTGCTTACAATACTGTTTGTTTAAAAAATAAATATTACAATAAACTATGAGCACAGCTATGAGCTTGGGTACCCAAACGTTGGTAATATACAGTAATATAGCTAATAAGAATGATATATAATCTATAATAAATATAGATCAGTAATTATTGTAGTAATATGTATTAATATTAATAAAAAGGGAAAGGTTCTTGCAGTATCAATATGTAATATTTAAAATAAAAATATTTCTTGAAATATAACTGCTGTTTTGTAAGATCTTTAGGTTTCAAAAATAATGAGAATAACTGAAAATGACAAAAAGTTATGTTTGTTTGTCGATATGGGGAAACCAATCTTAAGCTTTTTTCGCTTTCCTGTTATTACAGATTCTGAATCGTCCTAGCAGCTCTGCAGCACATGCGCAAATGAAATAATGTCTTCATATTTCCTTCTGCGCATACGCATCACAGTTCTAGAACGGTTCAGAATCGGTAATAACAGGAAAACGAAAAAAGCTTTTGTTTAGTGTCGGTGAGTTATTAGATAAAGATCTAATAGCGCCAGTACACAGATGGAAAGAAGCATTTTCGGGCGGCTCCATAAATAAATAAAAAGGCGGAAGGTTCTTGCAGCTGGTCCGCAAATTTTTTTGGCCAAAATTACCAATTAAGACCCGTACTTTACTTTTGAAAAAAAAATTAGTTTTCTTAAAATTCCACAAAAAAATTAAAATGTAATGCTGCCAGGGTCTGGTATAATTTTTTTCGGAACATTGGATCACCCTATAAAAATAACATAATCGATGCATTTTTACCTTTACCCGATCTTCGACTTTTTGCTATTTTTGCTCGCTCCCTTCTCAGGGACGCCAGCAAGCTCATCATTTTTCGTCTGCATTCGTCCTCCGGTGTGTTCATTTCCTTCGCTAGTTCGGCCCAAACATAGAATTTCTTCCGTTTGTTATAATGTTTGCTGTGCTTGGGATCCCATAGTATCGGTCTATTCTTGTAACATTGTATAAATGACAGGACTTTTTCTTGCGACCAGTCCATAATCACAGCGTAGCGTAACGTGCTCTCGCTTTCAAACAACGAACTCTGCAACGAACTGCGGGAGAGACTACAAAATGGATGGTTACGAGTTCGGTTAAAAGCGCCGGCCTGTAACGTAACTATCGAGCGGTTTCGTGTTCAATCAATACCTCCAAAAAGCTTAAAGCCTTAATAAGTTAAGATTTTTATGTACCGCCCGCCGCACAGTGTAACGAAATCGGGAAATGGGGACATTAGCCCAAAAAACAAAAAAAATTAATTCATCAAGTTTTTTATATAGATGGATAAAGGACATCCCAGAGCCCCACCATGTGAGATATTTCTTGAGTTGACCTCTTAGTCGGGGAGTTATAGCGGGTTTAAGTTATGGTTTCCTTAATTTACCAAATCTGTACAGTACATCTGCTGGATCTGTGATGAAAGGAATGCGGGCAAAAAACATTTAAATAAACAGCAATATTTTATACGTCGATTTGACGAGTGCGTCATCGCAAATCGCTCCGCCCACTCACTTTATTGGCTACTTGCAAATTTGTCGAATTTTTATTGATGGGACGCGTCGTCTAATTTTTTACGAAAAACATCGAGAAAATATCGTTTCCCCTCTCACGGATACCCCGGAGCTACAGAACGGACAGACGTACTGTACAAAAATTTCATAAAATGAATTTTATTATTTTCAAAAGTTTATTGTGTTGTACAATTCCAACAAGACTTTCAAAAAAAACGCTTACATTCGCGCAAGGTTATACAACAAAATATCATAGAGTGAACCTTCTAGTATACTGTTACATATAAATTTCATCCACCTACGAGTAGATCCGAACCTGGAAGAAAAAAATAAATTTCTTCGGCAATAATTACGTTTTCCATTGATTCGACCGGAGTTTTTATCCGTAATTTTTTGTGCTATAATTTCTTTATTGAAAAAGATACGCTTGCTATGAACATACTGAATGCTATTTTAGGGGCGAGGAACCATCCTCACATTGGGGTGGGGGACAGTTTACAACAATTCAGAAAATCTCAACATTGGAGAAAAATTACTCAAGAGAATATTTTTTCAAACCGGCAAAATTTTCTTCGATGCAATCCACCATCAATGCTGCATCATTGTTGGTGCCAAACTATTGAAGATATATTGCACAACTTATTGATATATTCAGATCCTCTACTTCCACATCTGCGACCAAAGCACTCTAAAAATAAAAAAGTAGACTTGTTTCCGGAAGCGAAAGAGCTCTGTGCGAAAGAGCTCTGTGCTCATAGTTTGAAGAAATTGAGAATGATTTTAAAGCATGTTTTATGTAAGTGCCTTACATATTATGTTATTTTGGAATAATATACACCCCACATAAATTATCGCATCGCTTATTAATTTGGAAAACTGTAAACTATTCTTAAATTCTCTTGGTTAACAATAATCTCAAAAGTTATTTGCATTAATAGCAACTTGTTAAGGAATGGAAAGTATATCATAGTACATCAACTCAGGCAGACCTTAGATTTAAGTTTTTCACATAAAAATGTTTGAAGCGTTTCAAGAATGAATACTAAGAAAAATATAAGTGTTGCGAAATTTTTTGTGAGGTGTGTATTATGGTTTCCTTTGTTGAAGTTGAATACGGTTTTTTCGCATATTATCATATTATTTAATACTGTTAAATGATATTTGCCACTTGTGTCGTTCTCTTTGAGTTTTGCAGTCTGATCTAATTTATCCCTGATTATTTGAATATTTAGGAATGTTGATTGAGTTTTGACATATTAGCGGGAGATAAATGATTGTTCGACAGTAATTTGATAACGTTTTTGGTCCATAAGAGCTATAAACTCTTCGTAAATAAAAAAATATACCTGTAAAGTCCTGAACAGTAAATGAACTGTATTTGGTATGAACTGTATGTGAAGAAGGCTACATCATAATCGAAAATGGCTGAATAAGCGGAAGAAGATGATGACAATGATGATGGCACATTTTCTTACACATCGCATCGCTTATATTGAGATATTATACAACAGTCTCCATAGTCATTGTAACTACGCCTAAACAACATTGTAAATTCCCACTAGACATGAAACCACCGCGCCTTTTCGAATTATAAATTCTGTAGCTGCAGTATTTAAGGAGGTATTGGAAGCATGGGTCGATCGGCGGACCGAGCTCTCGAGCTGTGACCTCGAACGTTCGTAGAGGCATTTTTGTATATTTCTACGCTAGTTTGCGTGTTGCATTACAATGTTATGTTCAGCTGCTTCTGGATATACGGGGTGTGGCATAATGATTATTAAAAGTAATTTTTTAGGTAAAATTTTTATTTTCCGTAAAAATTCTATCCTGAATTTTTGATACGAATTACTTTGAAAGATCTATAAACGAATTATGAAAGTTTTCTTAAATTCACTCCCGAGAGGGGTGATATTATTCCAGTGTCAACTCATATGCACGTCCCTGATGAATTTATCGACACTTTTTTAGCATTAAGATATGTAGCACTTATAGTAACTTTTACCGTCAAAATTTCATTCGAATCACTAAAAGTACCTGGAAGAAAATTATAATAAATCGAAAGATTATTAAGACTTTAACACCCTATAACTACGAAACCAAGCAGAATCGGACCTATGTTAATATAACAAATAAATCTTATTTTTACGCGAGGAATCTCCCCATGAAAGATGACACATGTTTTTTGAAACACCCTGTATAAATGCTAACTTGAAAACTAATGTCAAATATTATTAAGTATCACAGTTTCCGCACAATGGCATCGTTAAACGAAACCGAACACATCGAAATTAATAATTGAATCGAATTGTTTAAGTGATATTTTCAGAAGTCAATAGTGAGTTTTTAGGCCCTCTGCAGTTTTAAGTGGTTATACCTTATCCTTACGTTATCCGTTATACTGCTCATGAGTACTCTTGGCAAAATGACGGATTGCGTTTCCCTTGGCGTCTTCAGAAAAGCGTTTTTGAGGCTTGACTACAGCATGTACTACGTTATTTATTTTGGCAGGTCGCGTTTATTCTAATCAAAATGTCAAATAATTTATAAGCATGAATCATTGAATGTTATTCAGAGGTTGAGTCTTATTTCTTAGTTTGGTGATTGTTACAACTGTTTTTTGTGCTGTTTTTCATTTTATTCCAAGTTCAACTTGAAGACGGTCTCTTGACAGCTGGTATTCAATACCAGTGTTGCCAAGGTTATGTTTAGAAGATCAAAATTTTAATAATATTTTACTAAGCAGGTCATTAATCTGACGAGGACATACTCAGATTCGTTCCGAGTATAGATTTATCGATATAATTAAACAGCCGTTAAACGGTAGCCTACTAAAATGCCGTTAATAGATATTGTGACGTCGTTGATGTCGGCGGGAAGTAATGGCCTTGCTATGGGCATTTTGCAAGAGCACCTGTGGCTCCGTGGCTGAGGCTATCGCTTCGTGAGCGAATGGTCCGTGGTTCAAATCTCACGCCGACCAAGACTTTTTTATATATTTTTTTGCTTATAGCGTGATCTTATTGCATTGGTTTCACTCTTTTTGGTTGGATTGGTTTAGTTATTTGGCGGGTTGGTTAGCGTGGTTATTTGGAGGGTGTTAATTCATTGGTTAGTTGGTTATTTGGTGTGGTTGGTTGGTTTTTACTAATTTATATTTGTTTTTTATATTTTTCTACTAGTGTCGAGGTTAGTTGCGTTGGTTAAGTTGGTTATTTGGTGGGGTGGATAGCGTTAAAATGTTAGTATTCATAAAACTACATTGCCTTACATTTATTTTAATTCAATATTAAATGACTGCAATAGATCCGACAACAGTGTACAAACTTTCACGTTATTAGCGTTACCGATATTTGTCCGTAATTAGCGTAGTATGTTATCCCTTATTAACGTTTTCGGTTATATAAGTATCAATGCGCATGTTCTGTATAACGTATAAGATATAACGGAATGTTTTATGTTTAGAAGGCCTAAAAACTCCCTAATAACTCGGAAACCGTTGCTTTGAGGTACATCATGTGTATCTCGATTTTTGCTTAGAATTGAAGGAAGAAATGAAATATGCAATAATATATAGGGGATTTAATTTCAAAAATTAAACTTTGATGTGCCACGAATTAATGGCCGACTCTGTATACTTAAATTTATTACGCGCCAATAGACATTTAAAAACTCTATAACTTTTATATTTAACTTTTTGCGGTACCTCGTATATTTTACCTAATAATCGACCGTTCTCATACATATTAGCGACCCTGTATATAGTTATTTTATGGTTAATTTATCTTTTATACATATTCATGGTTTCGATCTTATTATGGAACATATTTATTCTATTATTAAGTTATTAATATTTATGTAATATTTATTTCATATGTTTTTTTTTCTATTTCAGGAAGGTCTACGTTTTTTGGTAGCTTACCATCGCTTCATATCATTCAACCTGTACTGCGTCGGTTTTGTATGGTTTGTATTGTCTCTAGTCAAGAAATATTACATGAAACAGTTTTCCTTATTCGCCTGGACACACGTAGCTCTTTTGATCGTCGTCACTCAGTCGTATCTCATTATCAAGAACATTTTCGAAGGTTTGATTTGGTTTATAGTACCCGTATCGATGATCATATGTAACGATATTATGGCGTACGTATTCGGTTTCTTCTTTGGAAAGACGCCATTGATCAAGTTGTCGCCGAAGAAAACCTGGGAAGGATTTATTGGAGGCGGATTCTCTACCGTGTTTTTTGGACTAGGAGTAAGTAAAACAATAACTGTATTATAATACATAGGGGGTGCATCTCAAAAGTGGCTCACCTCATTAATTTTTTTAATTTTTTAGATAAAAAAAACGAGATATGTAGTATATGACATAAATTAGAACTGACTTATTCAATTCTTTTCGGTCACTTCCTGTTCACCGGAAATGGTATTTTGAAAATAATGACAAAAAATATGCTCATGAGCCACCCTCGTTTCATTTGATAACATTGAGATATGATTAAAAATACGATTTGGGCATCGTTTAGCCGGCCAGAATAAGATATGAAAAACATTAGGCGATCAAATCTATTTTTCCAATGCTCCTTGATTAAAACTTATTGTTTTTAACACAGCCATGACACTCTAGATTGAAATTTAAAATACGATTTTTAAAAGAGAATGTCAAACGTTGACATACATATATCATATGTAATTATCTTCAGAGTGTCTTTTTCTATCGAATAAAATAAAAAAAAATGTCGAGGGTGCCGTTTAAAAACTAAAAGTTGTAGTAATTTCTGGTGAAACAGAAAGTGACCGAAAACAGTTGAATACGTCAATCAATCCTAATTTATGTTATACACTAACCGACACGACACACGAAAATGAAAACAATTGAATACGTCAATCAATCCCAATTTATGTCATATACTAACGTACCAAATCTCGTTTTTTTTATCTGAAAAAATAAAAAAAGCTATAGGGGTGAGCCATGTTTTAGACGCACCATATCTAATACATATCTGTACATATCTAATATCTATCTGTATTTCTTTATTATCCACAGAGCTGTAACAAGTCAGTTTCAAAAAGACTTAAAGCGTAAGTCCCAAGTCATTTCTAAAATCAAAATGATTTAAATCTTAAGTCAACTTCAACATAAAATTTAAAACTTGACTTAAATCGTAGTCTTGTCTTTGAGTTAAATCGTTTGCTTTAAGTCATTTTCTTAAAGATTTAAATCAATATAATGTAAATTAAGTCGTTTTTATGACTTAGGTCTGTATTTTTTTATTTAAAACATGATCTGCGAGTTAAGTCGGCAAAATGACTAAAATCAAAATAATTACCGTCAAGACAACCAAAATTCCATTTAAGTACCTATTTTTAATGTTATTATAAATTTTCTTGTATTAACCCGATTGCCGATTTCCTTATATTGCCTTACTTGTATTATTAATTTATTGTAGGTACTAACTACAAACATAAAAATATGTTTTTTTTTAATATAAAATTTAACCGATTTTGTAGTACTTTATGTGTATCCATTATAGTTTAGATTAACATGTCCTTAAAAAGTGGTAATATGTTTTGATCACTATTTAATATGTCGATAGTATAGAGGTAAAAGGGCTGGAGGATTTTAAAATTATTTTAATTTTTGTTAAACATTTTTATATTTTTAAAGAAGGAAATTGCTTGCATTCCAATTAGTTTTTAATACACGAATTAACAAAACAATTTTATAATTTAAATTTTGGTTATATTATTTAATTAATATTGATAAAAGTTGTGTTTATGTTACGTAGTATGTTTTTGTTAATATGAAATGAATAGTCGAAAGTAAACTGCAACGTATGATAATAAAGGTACAATTATATCCCAATTATTGTATTATAATATAGAGGGGTGAATAGCAGTGTATCTATAATAATAATAGGTTAGGTTGTGTGGGTTGTAGAGCGTTATATAAACTGTTTTGACTAAAGTAATTTGATTAATTAAAATAATTATTAATGGAATGACTATTTGCGTACACAAAACATGTTGTCTAATTATGTTTATATTCGACTGTTAAATTTGAATATACATTTCATGACCTAGTAGTAAAATAAAGTTCGACAATTTTTTATGTTTCAAGGTCACTAATATATTATGTTTTATCGTATATGTTTTATTTATCTTTTGCAGATATCTTACATTATGTGCCAATATCCATATTTTGTTTGCCCAATCGAATACAGCGAAACTCTGGGCAGAATGACAATGGAGTGCGAACCTAGCTCCCTCTTCCGCTTACAAAGTTATACTTTACCTATTTGGTTGAACTGGTTGAAAATTGTAAGTATTATTTAGTGTTATTTAATTTTTTTAAATTATTTTTTGTTTTTTAATTGACTATACAGGGTGGTCCGAATTGTATTCGAGAAACGTCGGCAGCATATTCTGCAGATAAAAATAAGTAAAACAGTTCATATCAATTTTATCCTAAAATGGAGTCGTTTCGTAGATACAGGATGTAGAAGTTTCATTTTTATTTCGGCTTTTTCCAAATAATTTTTGAACTAATATCGATGTTTTGATGAAAATTGGTGTCTGGGTGTTTTTTGGCCCCCTACAAATAGGAGTTCGGTACTGATACCGAAATCGAATGTCTTATATCAAGAAACACTCACAGACGCTAATTTTCATCCAAATATCGGCGTTATCTCAGAAATTATTTGGAAAAAATCGCAATAAAAATGAAACTTCTACACGGCGTATCTCTGAAAGGAAGCATTTTAGGATATGCATTTATACAAACTTTTTTACTTATTTTTTAAGCAGAATATGATGACAACATTTCCCGAATACAATTCGAGCCACCCTGTATATTTTGCTTTTCTTTATTAAACGTGTAGTAATTCGATTATAAATATTTGTTTGACTTTTTTCAGTTTGGTTTGGGAGATGTCATATATCTATACCCTTTTATGCTTCATTCATTGTCTCTTTCACTGTTCAGTAGCGTGATTGGGCCATTTGGAGGTTTCTTTGCTTCTGGATTTAAGAGAGCGTTCAAAATTAAGGTATGTTTTTTTTTTAAATATAATCTTCGATAATTTGAAATTGATTCAAAAATATGTTTATTAATTTATAAGTTAGTTAGGTTCCTTAAATTATATCTTAGTTGGAGAAATGAATTATCTTATTATATTTTCTCTTAAGCTTTATTCAGAACCTCGCAATTAGTGGAATAAATTAGTGGTTTCAATTACACTTTAGACTTTTTGGTTTATTATCATTCACAATGTCTAAACCCTAGATCATATAGGTATATACGTACGTGTAACGTATAAGTAAATCACTATGGAAACTGGCGCAAACATATCAGACTACCAGACTTCCATTTATCTTCTTTTTTGTTGCCCACGCGGTGCTTTTACTTTATCTATCCTTGTCGAGGACCTATCGTCCGCGCGCCAAATTTGAACATTAATTTTAAAAATTTAATTTCTAAAATGCTTATATTTGAGCAATAAATTGAATGTTTACTGTCACAAAAATTAAATTATATAAAAAATACATTTAGCCACTCCGTACGAATATCAATATTCTTAAGAAATCTAACCATAAAGTATGCATGTGGCTTAATATAAATAAAAGAACAACTGAATACTTTACTTGACGATGAAAAGATAATTCGGGGACCTTTATAATTAGAACTTTGACACACTAAAAACTTTCTAGTCATTTTTACGAGTATTTAGAAAGTCCAACGGAAAAAATAGAAATATAATTGCACAAACTTAAAATTAACTTCTCACTGAACACACTTGCATCCTTGGCTATATAAAAGCGGTCAATAAAAGAGTAATTAATACAATTTTTAAATTAAAAAACGCAAAAAAAGCGTCGTTACACAATGGAAATAAAATTATGATTATGACAATATGATGACAATGAAAAGTTGGTTTCCTTGTATAATTTATACTTTCTAAACCGTATAAAATTGTGATTATTTTGGAAATACGTACAACTTTTAATGCGCATGTGCAAAGTAAGGTCCTCGAGAAAGACAAACCTATTGAACGTTTCATAAGTGCAATAATGAAGGTTTGAAAATGGCATGCCGTGATGTTGGAGACACATTTTAATGCTAAACTTATGACGTTGATTTATCTACGTAAGTATATATCGTCCTATTGCTGCCAAAAGTCACTAACTAACATTTTCCGAACCTGAAAATTCAATCACTAACTATATTTTGAAGCGGAGAATCGATTGAAAAAGTCATTAGCTACGATTTCTGGCTATTTATGTTTTATTTTGATACTGAATAGTTACTAACTATGACATCTTTATGCAATGCAATTCATCTTTAGACGCGTTTTTCTCGGAAGTAGCAAAAAGTAAGTTAGTGACTTTTTTTAGTGATTAAAATAATTTTAATAGTGTTGCTAGGATATTTTATTAATTAATAATAAAATATCCTAGCAACATCTTGCGGTAGTTGGTTGTATCAATAGAGAAAGCCTAATATTTAGCTTATAAAACAATAATTTTTTTATTTCTAACCACAATTTCTCTTAACGGGCGATAATCAAAGGCCAAAATTACATCCCTCGGAACTTTTGAAGTATAATTAATGGAAAAGTTAAAAGTTTGTTAACTTTTTCTGCTAATTGAAAATTTCTACCACTAATTTTGGCGTTCTGAATGCTTACATTGAAATTAGAGGATCAAACTTCTACGCTAATTGAAACCACTAATTTATTCTACTAATTGCGAGGTTCTGAATGAAGCTTTAACGTGTCAAATTATTACTATGTCAATTTAAAAAAAAATATTGAGGGAATATTTCGAATAAAAATTTTGATATGGAGTATTTTCTTAACACTGTATTATTTGTATTTTATTTAAACATTTTAAGACTAAGTATTTATTTTTATACAATATGTTACAACATGGTTTCATATTGAGATGGGAGTTCAATTTACTTTAGTAGTCAGTTGATTTTACTACTACAGTCTTTTCTCCGTTAGGATTTTGGAGACGTCATTCCAGGCCACGGAGGTATCATGGACCGCTTCGACTGTCAGTTCCTGATGGCTACGTTCGTTAACGTTTACATCAGCAGCTTTATTCAGACAGACAGTCCACAGAAGTTACTCTCTCAAGTTCATTATCTGAAACCCGAGCAACAGTTGCAATTGTTCCACATGCTACGCGAATCGTTGGAGAATCGAAATATTCTAATTCCAGGAAATTAGACGACTGGTGTAACGATTGATGTTAATTTATTTTCTGTGCCATAGGAGTTATTATTTTTGTTAATAATTTTTTGTTGGGTGTGTCTCGAAGGGACCAGACCATTCCCATTACCGTTGCGAGCTGTGTTGTACTTAAGTATATTCTATAGTTACGAATATTTAAACTCCTCGAATGGCTAGTTGGATTTCTCCCATGGCGATCGATTGTCATGATTTTTAAAATCATTCAAACGTGTGTCTTGAACAAAGAATTTTCGTTGTTTTATGATGTTACCTGATTATAATTAAACGTTTCAAGGATAACTTTTTATACCAGATATTGTAAAGAGTGTTTAATATCTAAGTTGAAATAATGGGAACGATTTGGTAATTGGCTTTTTGTTAGTCAGGTAATATAAAAATCATTGATTTACATAAAAAGGCTACTGGTTTTAGAAGACACTGACTTCTCAGTGAGTCTCTATTCTTACACAAATTTACCTAATCACTAGTTAACTTAAAAACTTATTTTTTTACATTTTGGTAGGCTACCTTAGTAATATGGAAGGTAGAGGTAAGGAGAATTTTCTTCGTGTATTGAAAAGTGGTCATCAAAGAGGGAACAATTAAGATGGCACTGTTGTAGCAAAAGTTTTACATTTGAAAGAAGCTTCAAAAAATTTTAAAACAGGAAATCATTAAAAAAGATAGATAAATATGCTATTTCTGGAGGCACGTCTTTTCGGCCACTCTTTTTTGGCTAACCTCACTTTTTTATAATCGCTAAGAACCATATTGACTCCAAACTGCATTCTGTGAAGCCAAGCCGGTGAAATGGGTATATAAATCTTCTGAAGGAAGTTGCATAAGTCGCTCAGTTAGCTCTGCTCAAGCGTAGTGCGCAAGCCTGGATTTTGAATTATCGATCGGATAACTAGACCAATAAGAGACTAGACGCTAGCACCAGCTGTTCGCATTCGTACGGCTCCGTCCAACTTCGTACGACTTTCGTTTGCGCTCCCATTCGACAATTAGCTAATCCTCAGAGTAAGGGCTAATCGATTTTCGAAATTTTGGAATTGCGCTGTTGCGCCAGCGTCTGCCTAACAGACGAACTTATGTGAAATATACATGGACCGGTTATCTAGTTGTCTCTAACTCGGCTTCAACTCCAATACATTGCAGGGATAGGCGATAATCTGTACAATATGCTCCTAAGTTCAGTTCGATCCCTTATTGCTTATTAGCGCCACTGTAATCATTTAGTGAACCTTTATTTTCCCCTTTTAGGTGGCCACTTTTTCAAAAAATGTCCCATAAGAGGTGATTCTCCTTACCTCTTTCCTTCCACACAAACTGTTGTATGTGACATTTTGGAAATTTTACAGTAGATCGAAAAAAACCTCTTTTAGTGCGATCTAAGAATCCCTACAGTGTCATAACTGTAACAGGAAAGGCTCCCATACTGTAGGAGACAAAATAAATAGAATATCTAACAACAGTGAGTGTTAGTGATCACACTAAAAGACGTTTTTTTCGCTCTACTGCAAATTTTCAAAATGTCATTTACGACACTTTGTGTGGAAGGCGACGAATACATGCTAGTAACAATATTGCTTTTTGAAAATGTCTAGTTTAAATAATATCTGTTTGAAAAAGAGAGTCAAAAGGTCTTCGTTTGGTTAATTTAGATTTAAATATTTTATATTTAAATCTATCATATTTCATATATAATCATATTTTTTCCTTTCATTTCTTTGCATCTGACGGTTAAGATATACCTTTAAAAACGTTAATTGGTTTTCGTTGCTTGGACAAATTTGTGTACAATTAACAGCCGCTGAAGAGCTTTTATTCGCGTATTTTACATCCAGTAATGGTTTTACAAAATAAATATTTTTTTTAAAGCCGTACCGGGTGTTATTTAAGTAGGTAAAATTCTGGGTGTGGATATTTTAGTGATTTTAAGAAAAAATCACATAGGCCCAAAAATGCCTGCTTTCCAATACATAGGGCGTCAACTGTGGTGTTTTGCTTTTAAAAATAACCAGATTTTGAATCTCACAAGCATAACAGTTATGCTTGTGATTTATGAGTTATGAATCACAAGCATAACAGTTATGCTTGTGATTTCACTATTCCATGATAATGAGCGTAAAAATCCCAACCCAAAAGCCAGTTACTAGTCCTGGTCACTTTCTCTGCGTAGTCTGTATTTTATTGCATGCGACGGAGATAAATATAACTGACCGGTTGACAGACAGAGAGGCAAAATAAAAAGCGGCATACGGTGTTGCCGGTTTTTACGTTTGTAGGAAAATCGATCGAAAATCGGTACCCGTGTAGAAAAAAATAAACAATTTTAAAAACTTTCATGTTGTTTCATGTACTGAAATGAAGATCACATATCTAAGCTAAATATAATCTATTACAGCTGTTATAATTTATTACAGCTAATTGTGAAAAATAAAGTTCCAACCCTAGATGCAACATTTTTCATAAACGCCTAGTTGAGCCGTTTGAAATTTTGATGCAAAGTCCGGCAATACCGCATAGAAAAATGCATCAACCCAGCTTTATCTCTTACACGTTTTACTCGTTAAAATCCAGACCACGCAGTTTCGATGACCAGATCGGTATATACATATATTTATGTGCTGATCAGTATAAGTTACGGCACTTGGAACAAAAACTCCCTAAGCGCCCTCAACAGTTGAGGCCTTTCAAACATATCCATTATTATGTTTTCTGAGAAACATATAAAAAACTTATTTTTTATATATTCCTTTACTATCCTCTATATCATTGACAAATTTTAAAAGAGTGGTCTACATTAAATACTTTAATAATAATTAAAATATTTAAAAAATGACCTGTTTTAAAAAACTTGTCGCTTGGTATATTGAAAATGAAGCATTTCTGGACCTACAATTAGGTATAATAATTTTTGTATTAAAATCACTCAAAAAGTCACTTAAAGTTTGGTTACGTATTTAAATAACACCCTTTATACTGAAACTTTGCAGTAATGTGTCAAGCAAAGATACATTATTTATTGAGATATTTTTTCACACATGCAAAATTTGGTATAAAAAGTTCTCCCAATTTTCTTATCATATACAGATAACAGATAAGTAGTGTATGTGTTCTGATTAAGTATTGTGCTATATCTGTTTTAGAATTTGTATAAAAAGGTGGAGGTATTACCTTAAAAATTATTAAATTTTCTTTATTTTATAATCAGATGAAAGCCTGGGCTGGTTTTATAACCAAATTATATCGCCATCTGTTGGGCACTGAATTTATCTTTAATTATTATATTGAAACGCATTATCTACCACCTGATTATATTGCCAAATTTGATAAATTCTAGTTTTTCCAGTTTAGACTAACAGTGAATGTGCCTTTTAATTTCACATTTACATACAAATTAATTTGTGCAATATCTTTTACACATTTTGTTATAGATTATTTTCTATTCTTTATATATTATTTCTTTTTAAGTGTATTAATAATTGGCAGATGAAAGCAATGTGGAGAGTAATATATTTTATAAATAAAGTTTCTTTACAAGATGTAGTAATAACCTGCTATTTATGTAGAAAGGAGAACCAACTATACAGGGCGTGCCAAAAAATGGAAATGAGTGGAAAAAAAGTTATGTCGAATTGCCATGGCGATAACTTTTTGTGGGTAATGGCTTTATGATAGAAAAAAAAATGGACAAATATCAAGGACAAGTTTTAAGTGTCTCACTCAATTTATAATGTTCCTGATTCCTATTTAAAGACAGTAAAAAAAATATTGTAATTTTTTGCGAGGTTGCCGATTTTCTACCTAAAAATATTTTAAAACGTCAATTTTGACATATACGAGGCCATCTTGATTTCTTTTAAATGGAAACCCCCACATATTTTAGCATCTTCCGGTAGACATATTTTAGCTAATTTCAAAAATGTATAGTTTAGTATACTTTGCGCTGATCGTTTTCGACATACAGTGCATTTAAAAATTAAATGTTCCAGAATTAATTTAATAGTCTCATTCAATTTAAAATTTTTCTGTTTCCTATTTTAACATAGTAAAAAGATATTTTAATGTAATTTTTCGCGAGGATGCCGATTTTTATCTGAACATTTTTTAAAGCGTCAATTTTGTCAGATACGGCGCCATGTTGGTTTTTTTAAATTGAAATTCTCACATATTTTAGCATCTTCCGGTAGACATATTTTAGCTAATTTTAAAAATATATGAACTAGTATGCTTTGCGTTGATCGTTTTTGATATACAGTGCATTTAAAAATGAAATGTCCTAGAATCATCTCACTCAATTTAAAATTTTCCTGTTTCCTATTTTAAGATAGTAAAAAGACATTTTAATGTAATTTTTCGCGAAGATGCGCAAAGTGCAAAGTATACTAAACTAAAAAATATACTATGAAACAAGAAAATTAAAAAAAGAATAGTTTAATTTGACAGACAGAAAATTAACCTAATCCCCATTGAAACTTGATAACTAGATGTAAAGATTATGTTCTGAACTATCTTTTCTCTCTGACTTTTTTAATAATTTTTTATCTAACCTCGCTTTTTGATGCATAAAAAGGTTTTTGTCACTTGTCGCATGATATGTCAAAATTATTTTTTGTTATTGCTTCATCATGCCAAAGAAATTTTGCATAATAATGTTTTCAATAAGCCTAATAAAGTTTTCTCCGTTTTTGAAACTTTTTGGCACACCCTGTATATCTTCTGATACTAAAAATGTATCATATTTACAGTTGATCAAGAAGGTTTTGCATAAAGAATATGAGAGTAAGAGTTTTAACATCCATTTTTTGTTACAATTTCTAGTCCATACCTATATTAGGGCTGTTTAATAGTTAATATCTATGAGATAAAAGAAATTACATATATGTACATGTTTTCTTATCTTCTTAGAAGTATTTTGTTCTAAAATATAAAAAAAGTGTTACTTATACGTATATTTTTTGTTTATTGTTTTTTTTTCTTTTTTTAGAACACGTTTTTATGTATGAAGAATGACTAGGATTTCGTGATATATATTTTTTAATTTATTATAAACCATAAACTATTTAGGCTGATTTATTTTTGACATTGGTCGGTATAAAGTAACTGTTGTGTTTAACTTTAACAGATTACAGCTCGGGTATCCATGAGATTTTTAATGTATTTATAGGTAGGTATACAGGATGTCCCAGATTGAGCTGTCTCAGATTAGAAGTTTCTAGAGAACTACTATAGGTATTTTGATCTGAGCTCTTTTTCATATCATTGTTTCACTGTTAGATCTCTCGATGAAAATATTTTCAATATGGCGGCACTTTGTAAATACCGGGAATTGACCGAAACTTTTTTATTTTAAATGAATATCCATATTTTTTATTACATACTTAAATTCTCTATAAAATTTTTATGATTTTTTATATGAAACACTCTGTTCCTAACATTAATCGTTTTTAAGAAAAAAAAATTTTTGGAGGAAGCTAAATATAAGCTTTGACGTTTAGCTTTAGTGATTCCCAGCTACTTTGAAATAAAGAGGCTATAATTTAAAAACGTGGCTATCTATTTCAAAAATTAAATTGTTCAAATGTCATATAACATTGCATGTGATTATCATGTAACTGTGCGATTATAAAATTATCATTTTTTTTTCGAATGGAAACATACTTTATTTCACTAACGAAAAGGTGTTTCAATTCGCTACTTTTTGATTGTTCCTATACCTAAAATAAATCGTTTTTAATTTATTTATGATTTATTTTTAAAGTTTATATTTTTCTTGATTTGGTTCCAACTGAACTAGTAGCCTATGACTTTAAACGTCAAGCAATGTAAAACAATATATCTGGCCATGTCAAATTGTGACACATTTTTAAAAAATCAGTATATATCAATCGTAATTTCCATTTCCGTTTTTTTTTCGATCATATGGTATATTATTAATATTATTATCTATTAGATGCCACTAAAGAGCGAAAATACCAGAGATATTTTTATAAAAACACTATACTTACTACTTAGTTTTCTGACAGAACACTGTTTGACACTTAATGTCAAAGTTAGCTAGTTAAAACGAAAAATATACACTTTAAAATTAAATTTTAAATAACTTAAAAATGATTTATTTTTAGGTTATTTAACATTTATATTCAAAAAGTAACGAATTGAAAAACCTTTTCATTTGTAAAATAAAAAAGTGGGTTTCTATTTGGAAAAAAATATTTATGATAACTTTTTAATCGTTCGCTTAATTTTGTGACAGCTATCGCCCATATATGAAATTTGAAAAACTTTATTTTTGAAAAAGATAGCTATTTCTTTTCTTTAAGTCACAGTGGCTGTGGTAATCACTAAATTTGACGGTTATGTTATATATTTACACTTTTTTTGACTGACCCCTCAAAATTTTTTTATTTTTTCTCTCTCAGAAACGGTTAATGTTAGATAGCGTGTTTGTAATCAAAATTTATATAAAAAAATTTACGCATAATTTATAACATACTCTTATAAAGTAATAGGAAAGAGGAGGATAATTTAAGTGTATAAAAAATTGTGTGTGCATTATGTGCGCATATTTGAAGTGAAACTTCTTCTTACCCGTCTGTCTGTCTGTCTGTCTGCCGAGTTTGGTTCTAATCGATGCATAATTAAGAAAAATCCTGATGATTTCGTCCATTTAGAGGCATCTGTTCGAAACGTCGGCGTCGAGGGCGTCATTCTGTAGCCCGTCCCCAATTATGCCGAAATTAACCCAGATTTTTCTTCAGTATCAAATTTTTAGCCCCACCCTGATGAAAATGTAAACGAAACGTCGTATCCAACTTTGCAGGGTGGGATCCTGTGCACTTACGTGCTTCTTACGCCAAAACTAACTGTCACAGTGACACGTGTCGTACATCTATCGACATAAAAAATTTCATTTCAATCGGATGATTTTTTGATTTGATTCATTGATGATGGGGTTTCGTAGAGCACGAAATGTCGTCAAAATATCATGAAAAAATGGGGCTCGAAGAACCACATCTACATTCCGAGTTTCATCCCCCTAGCTCATATAGGGCCCGACTTACGACGCTCCAAGATCAAAAAGTCAACGTTACCACTTTTCCTCTGGCGTCTCGTGTGTCACGGCCTTTAATTTTTTACTCCCATCGCGCGTAAAGAAGTTTCACTTTAATAAAAAATCTCCTTTAAAATAAGAAAATTGGTGTCATTTTCCGGTATTTCTAGACGTAGATATCGTTGTGAGACAATATGGGCAAAAATCTCTTATGGATATTGCAAGGGCAAGGGAGGGAGCGAGAACCTCCAACACCAGGAGGCAAGCAGGGACGTATCACCAGCTTTGCCTCTATTGCTGGACAAGTGAAAATGGCGGTGCTGCCAAAGGATTTTCCAGAGGTTGCTCTGACCACCGACCAGCAAACGTCTCTAGAAGAGGCTATACTGGACGAAGTAGTGGCGATCGGATCGCAACACAACGATCTACAAAATGTGGGTCAGCTGCGTTTTGCGGGGATACACTTTCGGGTGGGCATGATCCTCATAGATTGTGTATCTCAAGAATCAGCGAATTGGTTGGTGGAAATCTCACCTAAGCTTAAAAATTGGCAAGGGCCGGAACTGGCTGCAGTGAAGGGAGAAAACATCCCTAAAGGGGCGGCCATCACGGCCTTTCTGCCGAGGAGCAAGGAAAAGGACGCCACCTACCTGCTGAGCCTTATCCAGGGAAGGGAGGCACAATAGATCTTTAAGGTCGCAGTGATTAACCCCCCTCTTACTCATTCTACATGGATATTGCAGTTCTCTAGAAACTTCCAATGGAAGCTCAGCCTGTGACACTCTGTATTTAGAGTACCGTAAATTCAGGGTATAAAAGTTATCGAGGTAATAAGTTATTAAAATTCATTAAATAATTATTCTGATGAAACCAATGATTTAAGGTGCGACTGAGTAGTATAACATTAGTGTGTACGGTATTTAAAGTCTTGCCGTTCGTAAAATAAACCGTTTAATCCTTAGCTACCCCGGTGTTGTGGATCCTGACGTATTTCCAAAGGTGTTTTTTTTGTGGTAGGAGGATATTTTGCATTTATTTATTAGATGTTTATTCTGTGTTTATTTATATTACATAATATGTACATGTTTTTTGACTGTTGATGTCCTAAAAAGTCTATAATGAATATACATTTATTTAGTAATGGCTTCTGTAGTTTTTATATTTACCTGTGAATTAAAATGACAGACACAACTGTCACTGCCATGGATTTTCTCGTTGGACAGACTATATACATTTACGTCGTAGAGCGCCATCTTCGGATCTTGTAATCATTGTGAACAGTCTAGGCCAGTAAGCGAGGATAAAAATAGGGTATTACCTCCGAATTCTTGACACCCCCACCAATTGACGTGAAATTTTTACAGTGAATAGAGATATATGTAAGAAACAAAAATGACATAGCGATGTGTGCTTTCACCCTGGGGGTGAGTGCCTCCCCTTCTTGGGGGTGAAAAATAGTTCATCCATTTTAATTGCAAAAAATCAATAAAGGGATGAATTCTAAGCCAAAAATGTTCTATAACATTTTTTTAGAAAATTAATATTTTCCCAGTTATTTAGGATTGAAAATGATTTTTCATCTAAAAACTACATATTTATATTTCTGTAATTTTTTATAAATAACTCGAAAACCTTGCGTTTTACCCCAAAACTCATATAGAGCACAAATGAAGCTTTTGGAATAACGAATTGATTCATTTTTTGTTGATTGCCGTAGGTCTAATAACAGCCGAGTTATCACTCTGTAAAGGTGATGTTTTATTTTCCAAAACTAAATTACAAACTTTGACCGTAAAATAATGGTGAAAGAATACATTTTTTGAAGAAAATGAATATGGCCGTTTTTAAAGTGCTTGAAAAGACCTTTTAAATGCTTTTTTAAAAGGTCTTTTCAAATTGTAGCTTAAGAATTCGCGGAGTTATGATAAAAATAAAATGGCTACCTCATTTTTCGGAAAAAAATTAACAACAAAATCTATGACTAAAATCAAAAAACTATCAATTTGTAGGAAATTACACGAGCTACAAATTAACCTCTATAGTTGAACAGTCTTGAATTCTTCATTTTTACTAGACTTTTGGATTTTAAGGCCTCAAAGAAGGTGGTCCTTACATGCAAGTCAAACTAAAAAACGTTCTATCTACGAAATAAAAAGATCTACAGAAAATTGAGAGAGAGCAAAAATATTGCAAAAGAAAGACCTTCAATTTTACTCTGTTGCATTTTTTACGTATTTAGTTTATTATTAGTTTTTCAGATATGTAAAAAAAAATATTTTTTTAAAAATATTCAGAAACAAATGTTTTCATTATTTTCAACTTTTTCCAAATTTAGACATTCTAAACCGCTCGAACTTGCAGAGCCCATTGTTAATACCTAAATATAGCCAACTGTACATGTTATATCGTCAATTAGCTTACGCTTAGTTTTTATTTTTATGATTTTAGTCATAGATTTTGTTAATTTTTAACGGAACAATGAGATGACCATTTTATTTTTATCATAACTCCGCGAGTTTTTGAGTTTTGAACTTAAAAAAAACATTTAATAGCTCTTCAGGCACTTTAAAAACAGTGATATTCATTTTCTTCGAAAAATGTGTTCTTTCGCCATTATTTTACGGTAAAAGGTTGCAATTTAGTTTTCGAAAAATAAAAAATTACCTTTACAGATTGATAACTCGGCTATTATTACACCTACTGTAATCAACAAAAAATGAATCGTTTAGTTATTCCAAAAGATTTATTTTTGCTTCTTTTACGATAAAACGCAAGGTTTTCGAGTTATAAAATGGCAGAAAAATATGCAGTTTTTAGTTGAAAAATCAACATTTTCAATCCTTAATAACTAGGAAAATATTAATTTCCAGAAAAAAATGTTATAGAGAATTTTTTGCTTAGAATTCATCCCTTTATTGATATTTGCAATTAAAACGGGTGATTTATTTTTCACCCCCGAGAAGGGGTGGCATTCACCCCCAGGGTGAAAGCACACATCGCTACTATGTAACTTTTGTTTCTTAAGGTGCGTATTCATTATCCGCACGAACGAACGAACGATTGTTCGCTAGTGGTATGGACGGGGACCGTACGATAGAACCGCACGAGAAGACCGGAGGCATTTGTTGGCGAACGCCTTTGATGTACCGACTCGAAACGGATGGTCGAGCGAACGAACGAACGAACGGCCGCATGCGTTCGGTCCCCGTCTAAATATACCGCACTTTCATTCGTTCGTTCGTTCGTTCGGATAATGAATACGCACCTTTACATATATCTCTATTCACTGTTAAGGTGCGTATTCATTATCCGCACGAACGAACGAACGAATGTTCGCTAGTGGTATGGACGGGGACCGTACGATAGAACCGCACGAGAAGACCGGAGGCATTTGTTGGCGAACGCCTTTGATGTACCGACTCGAACCGGATGGTCGAGCGAACGAACGAACGAACGGCCGCATGCGTTCGGTCCCCGTCTAAATATACCGCACTTTCATTTGTTCGTTCGTTCGGATAATGAATACGCACCTTTAAAATTTCACGTCAATCGGTGCAGGTGTTCAGAATTCGGACCTAAACCCTCGCTTACTGGCCTAGTCGTCTTTCGTAACACTATTTTGTTTAACTTTTAGTTTTATTTTTATTGTTGGTAGACAATAATACAAAACGATTTTGATTTAAAAATAATTTATTTATCTTACATTAAAAAGTACATGTTTTAAACGCTATCGTATATGAAATGTATATGGCCACATGTACATCCAAAATTCTATGTTATATAGATTCTCAACATTGCGGTATAAAATATTGTTTAAGGTTGAATCACAATAATAACTTACTTATAAATCACATCAAAATAACAACCTTTTTAACATGTCATGTTAAAGCTTATATGTATAAACATTTTTAATTTTTTTTTCTTGCAAAATTCGAATTATAACCAAAAGAAAATTAAAAAGGCTATCATTGGAATACATACTACATTGAAACTGTAAACAAACATGCAATTAACTTCTAAGGGTATAGAGATGAAGCAGAATGATTAAAACATCAAGTTATTCTGATATTTCTTCAGTTCACATTTTAATTCGTTCTTTGGTAAGTTAAGGTAAATTCTACAAATAAATTACGATTCTATTTTAAAACAGTCACCTTAGAAGTTTAGAACACCTAGTACGCTATTGTTTATCTATTTGACAAATTTTTTATATATACAGTGTGTACAAAAAACGCTACTAAGTGAGTAAAAATTGAATCTATAGGCACTAATAATAATTATGACTAGTTTGTAGAGTTTATGTGATAAACGTCTAGTTGAGAATCGTATTACTAATATACTTTAGTACATATTAACCTATAAAAATATACAATCATACGAGGCAGTGATAGAAATAGTCGAAAACTCCCGTCGTTGAAATCCTTTTGGATGCGTTGGTTATTTTTTGGCATCTTCAAGCGCGATTTAACTTAATACTGGACCAAATCGATGGTATGGGGAGCGTCTTAAGTGTTGGAGATCGTGCATATGCAGCAGCTGGGAAACCAGAAGGTGTCACTGTATAAATCGTTTCCGGATCCTTCCAGTGCAATTAACCTTTTTTGGACGTACTTTTGCTCGCATCTGGAAGAGTAACCCTGAGGTAGCTGACATAGTCCGCCGCAGTTGGTATCACTGAAAAATATGACTATTTTAGAATGTTACAAAACAAATAGATTGCTGTCGTCTATATAGTATTATAGGTAGCAAGTTATAAGCTTCGTTCAGAACCTCAAAATTAGTGGAATAAATCAATGGTTTCAATTAGCGTAGAAATTTGTTCTTCTAATATCAATGTAAGCATTCACAACGTCAAAATTAGTGGTAGTAATCTTCAATTAGTGGAAAAAGTTAACAAACTTAACTTTTCCACTAATTATACTTCAAAAGTTGCGAGGAATATCATTTTGGCCTTTGATTATCATCCAATTCAAGAGAAATTGCGGTTAGAAATCAAAAGTTTATTGTTTATTCAATTGTTTTTGGTCACTTCCTGTTTCACCGGAAATCATGACAACTTTTGATTTTTAAATGGTACCCTAGGTTTATTTCTACTTTATTCGATAGAAAAAGACACTCTGAATAGATTGACATATCATATGTCAACTTTTGACATTTTTGCTTAAAAAGAAATCGTATCTTAAATTTCAATCTAGAGAGCTATGGACATTAGCGTAACTAGCAATTCCTCATGGGGGGGCCTGGGGTTTGCCCAGGGGGGGGGCTAGTGCTTTTGTTTTTTCAAAAATGCAGAATAAGTTAAAAAAACACATTTTTTGAATAAAACGTTTACATGAATTTCTCTATCAATAAATTTCATAGACTTGGTGATCAAACCGTGTTCCCGTATTTAAAGACCTACAAATTTTCTAAAAAATAAAAATTAACACATTTTTTGAGCACAATAAAATAATATTAACTAAACAAAACTAGAAAATGTCATTTTTACTACATCACAAGCATATAAAAATTAATACGTTGCCAAGAGTCATAATTCAAGATTTCTCTGGGGGGTGCCCAGCAGTAGCTGGGGGGGGGGCACCCCCGTGCACCACTGTAGTTACGCTAATTGCCATGGTTAAAACACTAATTTTAAATCAAGAAGCCTTGTAAAAATATATTTGATCGTCTAATGTTTTTAGTGTCTTATCCTGGCTGGTTAAAATATGCCCAAATCGTATTTTTAATCATATCTCATTTTTTTCAAATGGAACGACGGTAGCAAATTTAGAAAAAGCATTTTTTACGAATAATCTGGTACCACACACTTGGTATTTCGAGTCAAATTGTTGTTATAAACCGCATGTTACAGTTTCAAATAAATCATATGCGAAAATATCAAAAGTTGACATATGATATGTCATTCTGTTCAGAGTGTCATTTTCTATCGAATAAATTAAAAAAATACCGAGGGTGTCATTTAAAAATCAAGTGACCGAAAACAATTGAATACTACATCAATCAATCCTAATTTATGTCGTATATACCAAATCTCGTTTTTTATCGGAAAAAATAAAAAAAGTTATAGGTGTGAACCACTTTTAAGGCGCACCCGGTATATAAAGGATTATGTAAAAATTAGTTTTTTAAATTTTGCGAATGCGAATGTGAATATTCGCGAATGCAAATGCGAATATTCATTACATCATTAGTAAGGTCCGACCGAGTTCTCGGTCTCGGTTACAGTTATTCTCGGCTAAAATCAGATCGAGATCTCGGTCTCATTTTCGGCATAAAAAGGCCGAGATTATCGGCAACTGGGATTATCGATCACGGCAAACTGCTCATGATCGTCAAATTAGCTTATTTTTGATCGTATCGCTCCACCTATCTATGCGTGGATGAATGGAATACTCGTCCGAAGTCGAAAAAAAGAATAGATATCATATCTGATCCATATATGATGTGATCGAATCACGAAGGGGATTTCCTGAACGGCTGAAGAATCGCCTTCATATTTCTATGCGTAAACAATGAACGAAATGTTAGATGTTAGTGCATATTATTAGTACCTATTAGTAATTTTATAGTATTAAATCCAAATAAAACCGTTTTTGCATGAAAATAACGTTTTTATTACATTATTATCAGATATTTTTTCATATATTGAATAAAATGTCATTTTTTTCATAAAAATTGCATCTTGTCTCGGTCTCGATCTAGGTCTCAGTCAAGACTAAAAATCTAGGTTCGGTCGGACCTTAATCATTATAGTTTTAACTGCTATTATTACTTTAGAGTTGTGAATCTCTAGTATTCATTTAAATCTTTTTTTATGTTAACAAAAAACGACTCATATTTCGCCGTCCGCAACTTGCTACTTTTGGCGTGGAAATCTATATACAGAGGGTGTTCCATTTTCGTGTTTTATGGGGTTCCTCCGTTTCTCGTTTATGAGTTTCATTCTTGAACTATAACTCAAAATTTTGTTTTTAAATTGGATACCCTGTATCTTATTTTTTATTTTATTTGCCTTGTTATGAGCATTTTTCAAGAAATGTATTGTGTGTTACAGAACATATGTGAAAAAAAATATCTATACCTATGTGGCGGATTCATCTCTCCAAAAAAGTCCTTTATGGGTATTTCGCCACTGCACTGCAATTCAAATGTGGTTGTTTTTGATTTACAATATGATCAAAAATATGATCGAAAAAAACGGCCAACCCAAACCAAATTATAATCGACGATAATTTTAGCGAGGTCAAGCCCTAGACGTCATTTATTTGGCCTGTACTCTTGTTTATTTTTGTATTGAAAATATTATTTTAAATGATGATTTTGAATAAATTTGTGTCCCTGGAAACGATCTATTAATTTTTAATCTTTCTATAATTAGTGCTAATTTTTAACAAGTTTTATGTGTCAATTTTTAGTAAATGACGTCTAGAGATTGACCTCGCCAAAAATATTATCTATTGTCATTCTCCAGCCGTCTTTGACGCTGCTTTTCTCGATCATAGGGTATATAAATTAAACCGCAACGTGGGGTTTCAAAAGATCGGAATAGAGATTTGTAGATGGATTTTCAATTTAATAACGTGGATGAAATTAAGATAAGTACCTGTGTAAGTACTTAACATATTTCTTTTACCTTGTATGAGAAACTAATTAAATATGGAACAAAAAGGAGAAAATTAATATGTAATCAGCAGAAAATATCTTTACATCGGTGTAATTTTTCCTTAAACAAAAGTACTATTGTTTTTAAAATTGAATGGCATAGATGCTGTTGTTTTTTTATTAGTTTGTAATAAAATCAAATTTCCGGCAAATTATCTATGCAGCATCATTACCTTCGTTAATAAAGTCCGTTATGCCATGTTATTTAATTTCGTTTGATTTGGTGGAATGAGTTTTATTCTGCTGCATTTCAACGAATTGCAATTCATAATTTTTGTAGGCAACTATTGTTCATTGCATTATTTTATTTATTAACGAAGCGAATGTTTCGCGTCATAGGCGGTAACAAAATTCGCCTCTCCTTCACATTTGTGCTAATATTCGCAACATAGCCGGTAACAAAATTCATATTTATTTTTTCACAGGACATTTTTTAACAAAATTCGCCTCTCTTTTTAGTACAAAGCTTGTTAGTATCTATTGTATCTGTTCTGTGGTATCTACACGGTTAAATAAAATCAGGGTGGGGGTAGGGGTTGTTTTAGGGGTTGCAAGCTGATTTTCCTTATACTACTCTACGGATCCTACAAATGCATATCAAATTCTATTGAAATCGGTTCATGAGAAGATTGTCAAAAACGCGTTGCAAGATTTGACTGATAGACAAATGTGAATTTAAATTAAATCTTGTAAAAACGTATATGAAAAAAAACATATTTTTTTTTAATGTAATTTGTATCTCTTACCCAATTTCATTCCTAACTTATCTTTCTTATATTTTTGAAATCTTCATGGTTAAATCGTATAAAATCGTATATTTCTTTACAAACTCTATTAGTCTTTCAGTGGCAGACATCCTTGCTTCGCAAGGAAAACGATAGACAACGCGGCTGGTCGCGAAATAAATAAAATTCGCTACAGTTTCGTTGTCAAATTTGGCGAATTATTCGCGCGAATGTGTGCATTCCTTAAAACAGAAAGCACAATACATATGAAGGGTCCAAGGGAAAAACATGATACCTAAGCGCCATTTTATTAATTTTACAGAAGAGTCAGAAAACGCTTCAGAATGTAATAATATAGTAAAACTACTATACCTGTAATAATGAAATTGCAATCAATTGACTGGCTCGTGAAGAATCTGGCCGCTAAGGGTGCCCTAAAATTAAGGGAATCTAACCTGGGGAACCAGACCAACTACGGTCACTCGAAGATATTGCCAGTGATAGGGAAAATCATGGTGAATACGAGTTTACATCTGCTAGACCAGAAAATACTATATGCTCACCAAAGATGATTTTGGAGAAAAGATAAGGATTCGCATCCCGACAAGAGAAGAATGGGAAAGTAACCGAGTAATGAACACTCAAGAGATAGCAGTCTACACAGATGCTTCCGCAACTTCAGGAGGCACAGGTATAGGCATCTTCTCAGAGGAACTAGACATCCAACGATCTTTAAGGCTATCGGATGGCTGTAATGTTCTACAAGCAGAGGTTTACGCCATAAATGACGCGGCTAGTTGTATACGAGAGAAAATTGATAGACCAATAGGGGATATCGTGACAGCTTGGGCGCTTTAGAAGCATCACCATGCAATCAGTGAGATCAAAACTGTGATGGACTGCCGGGAAGCACTGTCGTGGCTGCGTCAAGGCGGGGCGGGGCATACTCTGTGCTGGGTGCCAGGCCACAACAATGTGGTGGACAATCAAGAAGAAGACAGACTCACCAAAGAGGGGCCAGGGGTGAGGCCGTGGCAGATGACCCACCACTTGTGACGATCAAAACACTGAAGGAAGCTATAGGAACTACCATCAAGGTCAAGCAGCAAGAGACGTGGCAACATCGTGAGGACTGCGCTACAGCTCGAAGACTATGGCCAGTGATAGATAACAAAACAACTACTAGAGCACATAAGAACATAGTACGCTAGGCCTAGTGTAGGTGTCATCACTGGAAACTGCCACACGGGGGTAAACCTCGTGAGATTTCCAACGACGACTACTGCAGAGAGTGCGTAGGCGAAGAAGAGACCATAGAGCACCCGCTGTACTACTGTCCGGCACTGGAATACCGACGATTTAAAACTTTAGGGCAAGGTTTTTCGGAGGGACTAGAGGAAGCAGCAGAAGCCAACATCAACGACATCGGGAACTTGAACTTGACTCTTATAAATAGCTGGAAGTGCTTTTAACGAAAAGAAAGAATGAGAGAAATGTTTGGTACAACAATAAGAGGGTATCGCAGCAGGACCAAGGCCTCAAGTGAGGGATCAAACATGATCCCAAACCCCAGCAACCTAACCTAACCTATACCTGTAATAATCATCTTTTATGTAAGTTTACTAATTACAGTAACAGGAAATGAAATAAACACTAAACTTTAAAAATAAAAAAAAAAAATAATGAAAACACCAAACAAACTAAAAACATGTTTTCAAAATACACTTAGATATGAGGCAATGGAGATCTTCAAGGAAAAAGGAACAAGGAACTTTCGGGAACAGTTATATTAACACACAGATGTATTAACTTGACCAGAGTGTTATACAGACTGGAGAGAAAGTTCACTGCTTGGCATAACGTTAAAAATCAAAACTCTATGTGCGGGTATTATGCTGACCGATTGTGCTGTTTTCGTTGTAATTTAAAAAAATATTTCGAATCCTGTAATACTAATGTTTTCTTTACCTGCAAAATAAAATGCTAACTCATCACAATACACCAAAATATCTTACTTTTACACTGAACGCGTGTTTCGCTAACCATGTTAGCATCATCAACAGATTTTTAATCATCTGCTGATGATGCTAACATGGTTAGCGAAACGCGCGTTCAGTGCAAAAGTAAAGTGTTTTGGTCTATTGTGGTGAATTAGTGTTTTATTTTGCTCTTGTAACACGAAAGGGTTCCAACCTCTCAACTCTAATTTTATATACCTGCAAACTTCGCTTTTGACCAACTGGGTGTATTGCTGATTCGATTCTGGCATATTGACAACGTACATCCAGTTGCCTTTGCTGTTTAAAGCTGCCCGCGGCATGATGAAACTGGAACGACTTCGGCACAGCGGTTGGCCGGTGATCGTCGATTGCCTTTTTCTTCGAATCAAACTGGTACTGTTTTGAGTTCGGTACTCGTTTTCTTGGTACTTTAACGATGCCGTTAAGTATCTTCTTTTTCGCAGTGATCGTTTCTGTCGTTCGCTCCTGTTGGTGAAAAACATTCAATGTAAATTAGTATAGTTATATATGAGTAGAAACATTTGGAGAAAATTGAATTTAAAACAAATACTTTCATAATACATATAATTTAATAATAAATTAATATAAAGTATGTCACAGGGAAGTCTCATCTGTCATAAAGTCAGTCAGGGAAAATTTTGACAGGCGAAATAAAAAAAAATAACACAATTTTTTATTTTATTTCGAACGTCATGAAAGTATTAAGTAAAGCAATTTTACGCCTAATGAACGGATGCATGGAAATGCAATACATTTAAAAACTGCATCATTGTGTAACCAATCGAAGTCTTTAAATTCAACCAATAAAATTAATATCGTATCATTGTATCGTCGGATAACAGATGCATGTAAATGAAGCTTAAAGCTTGATTTTCATGCATCCGTTATACGTTGATACGATGGTCCGACGGTGCTCTGATTGGTCATAGCGTTTTCGCGCCACTTTTCATCCGTAAATATTTTACTTCAGCCCGTCAACGGACCCGTTCATACGATAATGGACGTTTTGACACTTTTTTGACAAATTTAATCTAACCTTAATAAAAATATAAGTAAAATAGCAAAATCGTTATCGAAACGAAAATATAAAATAACACCAACGTATATCCGATAAACGGAGGCATGAAAATGCAATACATTTAAAAACTGCGTTATTTTCTAACCAATCAAAGTCTTTAAATTCTACCAATAAAATTAATATCGTATCAACGTATCGTCGGACAACGGATGCATGAAAGTTTAGTTTAAAGCTTGATTTTCATGCATCTGTTGTCCGACGATTCGATGATACGATATTAATTTTATTGGTTGAATTTAAAGGCTTCGATTGGTTAACCGTTTCTAACCAATCGAAGTGTTTAAATTCAACCAATAAAATTAATATCGTATCAACGTGTCGTCGGATAACGGATGCATGAAAATTAAGCTTAAGTCGACAAAATAATTTAAATCAAAATAATTAGCATCACGTCAAGACAGCCAAAATTCAATTTTTAATGTTAATATAAATTTTCTTGTATTACCGATTGGCCGATGTCGTTCTTACCTATAGGTATAGTATCTCTAAGAATATATAAACAAGGATTGCATTAATTTATTGTAGATACAAGTGAGACTAAAATAACATTGAAATTTCGGTATAACTACAAACAAAAAAAATATGTTTTTTATAAAATTTGACCGATTTTGTAGCATATACTTTTAAAGGCTTTTATGTATCCATTACAGGTTAGATATTTTTACATGAATACCTGTAATTTCTTGTTTAGCTCTGCAATTACAAATCTCAGTTGGGTTAATTAGGCATATACACAAATATATTCTATTTTAATTGAGGAAATAAGTTCGCAATCAAAAATACTTACTAAAATTAATAATATGTTTGTATATGTCAAAAAATATATGAGCGGAACTAATTGAATCTTGTTACACATTTTTAAAAAGTTTTTTTCAATCTACCTAATAGTATATGCTTTGTTAAATAAAATATGTTGTATTTTCGTATTGTCTATTTGTTACTGTTCCTTCCTGCTGCAGTTTGAAAAAAAAATATTGCGATAATTGCAAACAAAGTTGTAAATTAAATAAAATAATGCATAAAAAAGGATTAACAATTTGTCGCTACATGTTTTATGACTGTTATGATATGTTAATCAATTACTTTCTGCTAGCGATAAATACTTTTATGCGTTTTATGTACCAATTTATGTGCATAAATTTACTGCTTGTAATAAGTTCACTTAGACAGCTGCATAATAATTTTATTATTATAACTATTTTATTTAATAAATCCTTATTTATAATATTAATTAAATTATGATTTGTATCTACTTAAAATGTATGTGTTAGCAGACCATATATGTAAAACAGACCATATACAAAAGGACTAGCCCATATATAAAAGGACTGAAGCATATACTTAAAATATAGATACATAAAAGCCTTTTAAAGTATATACTACAAAATCGGTCAAATTTTATAAAAAACATATTTTTGTTTGTAGTTATGCCGAAATTTCATTGTTTTATTTTATGTTGTTTTAGTCTCATGTGTAAGCAGCTTGTTTTTCCATAAACGGAAATTTAAAGAACAAAAAAAACAAAAGAAAATAAATTAACCCACATAGATACGGCCTAGACCGTATACTTACGGTCTGTTTTCACATGTGGTCTATAATATACTGGGTGCGTCTCAAAAGTGGCTCACCCCTATAGCTTTTTTATTTCTTTAGTTAAAAAAATGAGATTTGGTATGTTAGTATGTGACATAAATTAGGATTGATTGACGTATTCAATTGTTTTCGGTCACTACCTGTTTCACCGGAAATGACCACAACTTTTGATTTTTAAATTACACCCCGGTATTTTTTTACTTTATTCGATAGAAAATGTCACTATGAATAGAATGACATATCATATGTCAACTTTTGACATATGGTTCGCATATGGTTTATTTGAAATTATAACTTGCTGTTCGTAACAAAAATTTGACTCGAAATACTGTGTAGTATCAAATTATTCGTAAAAAAATGCTTTTTCCAAATATGCTAATGAGCCACCCTCGTTCCATTTGAAAAAATCGATATATGATTAAAAATACGATTTGAGCATTTTCTAACTGTCCAGGACAAGACACTAAAAACATTACACGATCAAATCTATTTTTCCAAGACTCCTTGATGAAGGATTGGTGTTTTTAACATAGCCATGGCACTCTAGATTGAATTTTAAAATACAATTTTTTATTAAACGAGAATGTCAAAAGTTGACATATGATATGTCATTCTATTTAGAATGTCATATTCTATCGATAAAGTAAAAAAATACGGCGGGTGCCATTTAAAAATCAGAAATTGTAGTAATTTCCGGTGAAACAGGAAGTGACCAAAAACAATTGAATACACCAATCAATCCTAATTTATGTCATATACTAACATACCAAATTTCGTTTTTTTATCTGAAAAAATAAAGAAAAGTTAAGACGCACCCGGTATATAAAAATTTATTTTAGATCTTGAGTATTATTATATTTAAGCTTTTTTTGTGTTTTTTTAGAAGGTTGAAAATAATTTACTTCAACTTGAAAGCAGGTTGATCATGACTTGGATTAACATATAGGATTCTTTTTTTATCCCGGTGATGCGTTCCTGTGGGGTAATATATCAACTATACAGGGTGATCCACGGCCACAGTACAGGGTGATTTTTTAAAATTTGTATTTTTGTCTAAAGGCACCTACTCCATCTGTCTAAATTATTTTCCGCCTAATACTAAAGGTGGTAGCATCTTGGTTACTTTAAATAGAACACCCGGTATTTTTTACAGTTTTTAAAACTACTTTTATATCTCATAATTTTTCTATTATACTAACCTACACCTATCTCTAATAGTTTTCGAGATAAAAAATAAAACATGTGTAAAATTGACAAAAGCATTATCTTGAATAAGCATTCGTTAAATCAAAAATTCAAAATAGTGAAATCTAAAATTTGGTTTAGAACTTAAGGAAAGTCGATATATTCGATCTGGCTAAACCAACCGATTGGATATCAAACAGGGTGATCAAAAAAAATATTGACATCCGTTTGTTATAAAATCGCTGAAATCTTTGGTATTTTCAACTCTTTTGGTATTATTTGTAATTCAACTCTGTGTACAGGGTGTCCCAGTTCAAACGAAACAAGGCAATTTAAAGGCATTTCTGGTGTGAAATGGACAAAACGGTGAAACACGTCAACGTTATTTTCGAAGGGGAAATAAGATGCGACTATTTTGGAAGCTCCTAATTCAAACTCCACGCGGGGGTGACATACAAAGTAGTGGATGTGAATTATTAGATATCAAAGTAGTTTCCAAATATGTAATAATATACCGGGTGTTCCATTTAAAATAAGAAACCTGCTGCAACTTTTGTATGTAAAAGTATATGAGGAATGTCATCGATCGTCATTTCCAAGTCAACTGGATACCGCTTTTATTTGATCACACGGTATAAAAGTAAAAATATACAAATACTAACAAAAATAATCTTAACTTGTTCAACGCTTTGTGGTATTAATATAGAGGGACACTTGAACGTATCTCTAAAGCTCTTAATATCTCTGAAGCTTGAAGTAATATTTAAAAAATAACTTTATTTTCGGTTTTAGCATAAATATCCCCACTATAACCCATAATACCCAAAATAGTAAGGATTTGTTGATTTTATTTAGGATAAATTTTGTCTGTTGCCCAGTGTTATTAAGTCACAAAATATGCTGGTAAGTTTTGATTGCGCTATTCGAGATGACCTGTATATTTCGTTGCGATTTGTTGCAGGTTGGATATAATGAACTTATGTAATATTGAGTTTTTGAAACCCAATTATCCTTAGGTGGATGTATAAAATATTACTAATGCCATTAGGGAAAGTCACGATTGTCTTTAGCGTCACGTTTTTATGATTAAAAGAAATATAGTTTCCTTCTACAGATCAATGACCCAACAATTTACTATAACATTTTAATAAATATATTTATTATAAATTTATTTTGATATTCTAATTAAATATTAGCTTAACTTAATTCCTTAAAATATTTTTTATATTTTTGATTTTTAAAATTGATAGATATACCAAGGTGTTTCACTATTTATACAGGGTGAGTCTTAAATAAGTGGAAATATTTTTAGGGGTAGTATATTTCGACCCCAGAAACACGATTATGAGGTTTTGTTCGCCAAAAATTTTTTGGAAATTATGTTAGTTTTTAGTTAAAAAACACGATTTCTTGATAATACGGCAACATAGGTAGTAGATTAAATTTACAAAAAAAACCTAGAAAAGATCCAGTTATTTTGGATTTACGTATTTCAAAAACTGTAAAGAGAGAATATGTTTGTTTTATCGAGCCCTGAAAATATTTGCACTTATTTAACTAACTAATCTAGTATTTATTTTCAGTATAAATTTGACATATTCATGAAAATATCAAGGAAAAATTAGTTCATTTTTTTTTGGCTTTTAATATTAAGTATATATTTTTTTTCTTGTTAAATTGAAAAATGGAACAAATTATTTTGCTCCTCTATGGCCGTACCATTCTTTTTTTGAACCCCCCCTGTAACTTCGTTGTGGATAAAACAAGAATATTAATTTTTACTAATCAAGGGGACATACTATAGCTGATTATATTGTCAATATACATATCTAGTGATTATACCTCATAGTTTATGAATTATCGCTTGTCAAATTTCTTTAATTTTGACGGTGAGCGATCATCAAAATTCTAAGGTACTTCTAGAAGCTTCATAAACTCCAAATTTTGAATTTTAGGTAGCTTTAAGCTTATAACGGAAGAAAAAGATGAAAAATCTCGAAATATCCTTATGCATTAAAAATTAGGAGTCTAGCCGCTACCGTTAACTGGCTTTCTAGTTGGCAATAAGTTAGGAAACTAGAATTAATCAATTTTATATTGTCTGATTTTATTTTTTGTATATCAATGTATAACAATAATAATTCAAAGTTTATAAATTTTCGCTAGTCAAACTTCTTTAATATAATTTTGGAAGATATTACTCGAAAAAAAATAGGACGATGACCTACGAAAGTCTCCCAACGCAATTTTTCCACAGCAAAAAGTTGTGAGATCTCATGTAAAACCAAGTCAGGCTATTTTATTTTGTTTCGATGGAAGCATCTATTCAATAATTTTGTTATAAATTGTTAGCATCATTATTAGACATCTTCATTTCTGTATTGCAGAAATAAAGATGTCTAATATTGATACTAATCTCCATATATAAAATGCTAATGTTTATCTGTATCGTCTCTGTTGAAGTGACGACATGCTCTAGAAAGTTGCTTTTTTACTAAAAGACAGCTAATTGGCTCTTCTAAAAACTGTCGTCGCCGGATTTGTTGTTTTTCATTTAATTTAAAAAAAAATAAAAAATATTTTTTTTCTTGATGTCGCATGTCGTGGTGGATGCGCCAGGCTTCAACTAGTAATTTATAAAGAAACTGTTGAATAGGTGCTACCATAAAAACTAAATAAATAATAAACGATATTAACGTGAGATCTCACAACCTTTTGCAGTGAAGGAATTGCGTTGCGAGACCACAGGCGAGACTTTTATATATTCTATATTTTTGATGGGATATACAGGATAAGTTATTTTGTTACCTTTTCCATATTCCGTTGACATGACCATACAATCCTGGTGTTAAAAATCCCGGCGATGGGTAACCCGTATTATAGGAAGTAGCTTTGTCTGGTTGGGGAAAGCTGGAGTACTTGTAAGTCAGGAAAGTTCCATCCTTGTTGTATTTGGGTTCGTAGCCGTTCAATCCGTTCGTATAGTTCTGTTGTGGTGCTTGTTGTTGATAAACATTTGGGGGAATATAATATCCACCTGAAATAAACATCCATCAAAGATATTTCGAATGTGATAATAAATAAAGCTTGCATACGCAACACAGAGCAATGAGATTTTTGATTGTCCGGAGCGCGGAAGAGACATAATAGTCTAAGAGCTGGCTACATGAAAAACCTTATCATCGTTACATAGCTAATTTTTCTTGTGTTTTTTGACGCCTTTTGTGTAGCCATTATGAAATAGTCATGTCTGCTAGCGCGATCCCGGGGCTTAAAGCGGGGGCGGCCATTCGAGAGGGTGAAATTTTTACACTAAAAATAGTATAAGGTACACTAGTTATAATCGCGAAAATAACTCTGAATTGTTAGTCAAAGAATTGCCTTTTTAGCGGTATATATGACTTCTATTTTGTCACAAACGGTTTTTGACAATTTCCCAAAATATTGTAGCGTTACACATTTAGTCGTTATGGTAAAAACGCAATTTATATAGATCCTGAAAAGTAATACAGCGACCTAATGACTATTTAACTATCAAATGTAATTGCTGTAATTTTGAATGTATTTGTAAAAAAAATATATTTTTTAGAACATATTTTAAACATCGCAGCTCCCTAAAAATGTCGATTTTGGAGGCAACTTGAAAAATGTAATAATACATAGGATTTCATTCAGTAACACTAAATCTGTATTTCTTTTTTTAGGCAGACGTGGTGTGAGGAAGTTCAACGTGTAAAGAAATTATTGCTTTTGTAAATGTAATAGAAATTACTATCATGTCAATGAAGAGAAAACATGAATTAGTTGATGCTGCAGCTGACCCAGTGGTGGCTCCGTTTGTATGGGACCTGTGTTTGTTATGCCGGGAAAATTCAAACGAACGTTTAATCATCCCAAAATGTGAAGGTTATATATCAAATCCTCTACTCTGGATATGACTTCTGTAACTAATGTTTGAAAGCTACTTTACAGTTATATCTTGAGTGTGCTTCCTGTGTGCGATTTTAAAACGGAAATCAAAGTTTCGTCTTCCGAAAAAAGCTGTACTTTATTTACTTTTTTATCAAAAATTAGCAGGCTAGAACATTGCTTTTTAGCAGGTACAAAACCGCTGTATTACTTTTCGAAATCTATAAATTACATTGCTGCCCTAACAACTTATAGCTGTGCAAGGCTACATTGTTTTGGCAGATTTTTAGCAATTGTTTATGATAAAATAGAAGATATATACCGTGCTGGCAACTGTTACTTTTGGGTCGGTACTTACATGTGTGGAAGTAAATCGCATAGGGATCTTATTAAGTCGGAGTGAGAGAAATGCGACGATGTGCTGTTGCGGCGTTGCCGGTACGCCTTTCCCTATCAGGTAAAGTCACAATCGCAAAGCTCTTATTTTTAAACGACTCTTTTTTCGAAAAGATAACTAGATAAAATCATTAGATATGTTTCTGAGCATCTGAAATGGAATTATAAGGATATCGTTAAGGTGTCCATTTTTTTTATAATGATAAAACGTCAGTAATCGCGATAATTTAAAAACTCAACATTTTAACACCTAACACTCCATAACTTAAGAACCACTTTAGATATTGAAACTTTTTTTTATTTTGAAGATCGGATTTTTTACAATAAAGAAAAAATCGATAAGGTTGTTGTTTTCCATTCAAAAATTTTAAACAACCCATCCATTTACTTTTAGTGCATAGCAATTTTCAGCAATCGTGTAACTTTTTTATTTATAAAGATTTTTTCACATACTGTCTGCGAAGAAAATATAGCAGAAATGTTAAGAAAGTTTTTTTTTAAAAACTACAATCAATTATTTTTAATAGATTTTGAGATGTATATTCATTTTGAATTCAGAGTTCTAATAGCGCGACCACTATCGAACACCGACTCAATTCCACTTATTTTTAACAAAAATGCAAGTGTTTCTAACTTGCACTTAAAAATTTTCAAGCTATAGGGAAAATTACAACGATTCCTTAATAAATAAACAAATAAAGTATCGTGAGACGTAATTGAATCGTGAAGCTGAACGCATGATGTACACCTTACCCTAGAACTTTAAGTACTGGAACTGACAGAGGTACTGTTTGGGTCGACCGGTGGACTGCGACAAATCTGCTATATCCCCTTTCACGTCTGTGCACAGTCTCTCGGTTTATTTCTTACATTTGGCAACGTGTGTTCTCTCTTTGTTCAGTACATTATAAACGCATTGTACTCTCCTTACATATGGAAATCTCGACCCAAGACTAACCTTTGCCAGTTCTTAGTATACCGTTGTACAGGTAATTTTTTTGCGAAGAAAAAAGTATAGAACACATCATTAGCTATATATAGCGAATTTCAAGTTATTTAGAAAAATCTGAGGAAAAAATGAAATGAAAAAACATTTTTTTTAAGTAACAAATATTTTTGTTATTATAAACGTAAATAATTTTGTGAAATATACAATTAAAAAGCGCGTTTCCTCCTCTTTTATAATCACTAACAATATTTGTTAATATCGAAAAGTAAAACTGACTTATAGCGAGAAATATAGAAGCGTGTCTAAAAATTTTGGCGGCCATTTTGATTACGTCATGAAGACCGCTAGAGGGCCAGAAAAATTTGTGTCCCGAGCTTTTTAGAACATACCCCATTATATTGATACTATGACAATTTATAACAAAATTGTTTCATAGGTACTTCCATTGAAAGTAAATAAAACAAACTGACTTGTTCTTTCATGAGATCTCATCGCAACTTTTTTTAATGGAAGAATTGCGTTGCAAGACTTGGCATTTTTTACATTCTATATTTTCGATGGGATATCTTATAATAATTAACAATAAAACAAACAACTTTATTACCTTGTTCAGGAAACACTTGCGTGGGCTTCGGTATATAGACCGGTTCGGGGTAATGGTAGCCGCCGTCAGCTCCGAGGTCTGGCAACGTCGGTGGGCCGTACACTGTGCTCGGGGGCGGATAATAGAATGCGGAGAATTCGTCTTTGGCCTCGTCTATGATCAAGTTCTTGTGATTGAACTGCCATTTCTGTATCAAATGGTATATCAGCTGGTGGAATGGTATAATTAGATTATACCTAATAGTAAATAAAACTGAACTTTGCAACATGACTCCCTCAAACCATTTTAGCAACATTTTTAGTTAGTAAAGGAGTAAAGAAAAAGGTTTTCTGATAAAAATATAGAGATTATTTTCATATTAGGTGTTCATCTACATTTGTTAACTATGAGTATAGGTAATTATTAATTTTTTATAATAGATTATTTAAATGTTTGTGAGATATGCCATTGTATTATTATTATTATGAATTTCAAGAAGAGAAATATTGACAAACAAACTAATGAGATTTTTGAATGTCCGGTGTGCGGAAGCGTGATAACATCACGTATCGGACTTTTCAGTCACAGCAAAGCTCATGAAAGAAAATGCCTTGCGTAACCATCTTCTGCTGCGTGTCAAATACTCGTCAGCGAGTAATGGCAGTAAGTAAGTAAGTGATAATTTCGATATCAAATATCTTGAGAAAGATTGCTCGTAGCGATTTTTACTAAAATATCTTTTTTACGTAAAAAATAGAGGAAACGGATGTTTTTTCACTCAGTAGAGATTATGGCAGTCAAAATAAAGACATGCAGGTAGCGTCCGCTAAAAGTAGTGTCATACTGATATCGAAATCGGATTTCTCACGTTAAAAACACGCATACAATTTTCATCCAAATATGAACGTTAGTTCAGACATGATTTAGAAAAAAAAACGAAATAAAACTTCTACTTTTATATTTTTATCTGAAGAATATGTTGTCAAAGTTTCCCGATTACAATTCGGATCACCCTGTATAAAGCAAAGCCTCGCGCGAGAAAAAAAGTCGAACAATTTATTTTCATAAGCTACTAATGTACTGCTATAGTTAGTTATTTACTATTTACTTTTTTTTCGACCAGATCATTTAAAATTGTATCCAGCGAGATCAGGGAAGATTTCTACAGGTTGACAACTAAATAATTAAAATTACATACAATAAATGCAAATACATACAACTGTCATTGTCAGGTATCCCCTCGTTGGACAGACTTTACTATTACTACTTAAAAATACCGAATGATCGAAAAAAAAAACGGCGTCAAATACGGCTAGGGAATGAAAATCGATGATAGTTTTGGCGAGGTCAATTTCTATACCTCATTTACTAAAAATTAACATAAAATTAGTCAAAAATTAACACTAATTATAGAAAGGTTAAAAAAGAATAGAACGTTTCCAGACACAAATATACAAGGCGAGTCTTAAATAAGTGCAAATATTTTCAGGGCTGGTAGATATCGATAAAAGAAACATATTTGCTCTTTACCGTTTTTCAAATATGTAATAACATACCCGAAATTTTTTACATTGATAATTAAAAAAAATGAGAACCACTGGATATTTTTTGGGTTTTCTTTCTTGTAAATTTAATCTACTACCAATTAAATATCTTTGTCTACTATATACCTATGTTGCCATATTATCGAGAAATTATGTTTTTAACTTAAAACTAAATACATTTTTTTCGACAAAAATACGGCACATACGTGTTTCTAGGGTCAAAATATTCTACTCCTAAAAATATTTACACTGATTTAACACTTACCCATTTAAAAATCTTTTTTAATCAAATGAAAATAAATCACAACCTTCATCAGCGCCATTAAAAAATAAAAAGACGAGTACGAGCCAAGTAATGACAATTAGGGTTTGACCTCTTTGACACCGTTTTATTCGATCGTATGGTGTAGGTACTTATTTTATAATCATTTAATTTCTTGAAACATTTTACATACCTGGGATAGTGATCGGGATGTTCGCAGTATGTTAGACCCGGTCTGGCACAAGGGGGCGTTTTACCAGGAGGAGCAGGGACGTACCTACAGACAGGATGAGGTCCGTACTCGTTTGAACAAATACTGTGGCACTTCACGATCCAACTGAACAATATCCAAAACTGAAACGAAAGTTATTTCTTAACATTCTCATAAGATAATCATGGGCATAGCTACAGTGGAGACTGTTGACAGACTCAAAAGAGTAACGATTTGGAGGTCGGTGGACCTTAGGTTAATGTTTGGATTGGTTTGGATAAGCAGGTTTTGATTGCATTTTTTTTAACCTTTTGGTTTGTTTGTTTTTTCGTTTTCTCTGTTTATGGCCTTAATATTTTGATTTTAAGTTGACTGGTATACCGGGTGCGTCTCAAAAGTGGTCCACCACTAATATGTTATTTTTTTAGATAAAAAAAGAGATTTGGTATGTGGTATGACAGAAATTAGGATTGTTTGACGTATTTAATTATTGTTTTCGGTCACTTCCTGTTTCGCCGGAAATGATGACAACTTTTGATTTTTAAATTGTTCCATTTGAAAAAATTGAGATATGATTAAAAATACGATTGAGACATCTTTTAACTGGCCAGGACAAGACACGAAAAACATTAGACGATCAAATGTATTTTTCCAATGTTCCTTCATTAAAAATTAATGTTTTTAACACAGCCTACAACCACACTCTAGATTGAAATTTAAAATACGATTTTTTTTATAAGCGAAAATGTCAAAAGTTGACATATGACATGTCATTCTACTCAGAGTGTAATTTTCTATGGAATAAAGTAAGTAGAAATATTCCGAAGGTGCGATTTAAAAATTAAAAGTTGTAAACATTTCCGGTGAAACAGGAAGTGATAAAAAATAATTGAATATGTCAATCAATCCTAATTTATGTCATATACGAACATACCAATATCGTTTTTTATATCTGAAAAATTAAAAAAATGTTATAGGGGTGAGCCACTTTCGAGACGCATCCGATAGAGTCGTGTTCAATATCAAACACTCTATATCTAACATTAACCGTTTTTTACGTCCAAAAATGTTAAACATTTTTTTTCTCAAAAACGTTTAAGCTGGGACCCCATTTGGCCACACGCCACGCGACGCCACGCTATCATACGTATTTGTGACGTGGGGAAAGAGTGTACATATGAGATCTGGGACAGACGACACACGTGTGATAGCGTGGGGTGCCGTGATTTGGGGTGGCCTGTTGCCTAGTGTGCACGCAATACATGTAATTAAATGGAAAAACATACGCAGAGATCTTCATGACGTGGGGAGGCATGGCGTAGTGTAGCGTGGCGCGTTGGCTAATGGGTTCTCGGTTCCCGACATTAATGTTAGGTATAGAGTGTTTGATAGAGTGTTTGATATATAAAATTTTACGGATAATTTAAGTATGTAATAAAAAATAGGGGTGCCAATTTAAAGCAAGGAAGTTGCTCTCAATTTTCGGTATTTCCGGAAGTGCCGCTATATTGAAAATATTTTGAACTCATAGATATCGTTGTGAAACAAAGATGTGCAAAAAATCTCCGATCTAGATATTGTAGTTCTCTAGAAACTTGGAATTCACCCTCAGCCTGGGACACCCTGTATTGCCGGAATTGTTACACATTACAATGACATATTACTCGATACATTTTTATTCTTTTTCTTGCCGACTGGTGATAATACAACAATGTGTAATAATAACCTTTACACGAGAAAAGAACAAGTTAAAAACCATCGCAAAAAAATCAAGAAGGGAGACATCGACAGTCTGAAAATTCAATTGGAACAGCTGAAGGCCGTGTCTTCATTTTTTTTCGGCTGTGTTTGAATGAAATTCGGTGAATCGCTAAATAGATGTACTTGAACGTGCGTTACAATAGAGGATAAAAAATGGCGATTGTATCATCAGATAGATTGCCGTTTTAAATGTCAGTACTATTTAGTTTTTATCGATCTTATCGTGTTACAGATTTAATCGATAACGAAATTAAGATACTTGCGAGAATTGAGAGAAAACATAGTACCTACCTAATACTTCAATTCGAGTATCAAAATGTATTAAAACTTGACTTAGGTGGCCTAGATTATAAACAGATAATATTAGTTTTAAAACTTAAAAACAAATATTTCTTTATGAATCAATAGCCAAACACGAGCATTTTTAAATAAATTTATGTACAAAATCAAAATTTATCATGTCATTTTATACAGGGTGTTTTTTGACATATCAAATGTCAAAAGTTCACATATCATTATATTCAGAATGTCATTTTCTATCGAATAAAGTAGAAAAATATTGAAGGTACCATTTAAAAATCCAAAGTTGTAGTCATTTCCGGTGAAACAGGAAGGGACCAAAAGCTATTGAATGCGTCAATCAATTCTAATTTAGGCCATATACTACAATACCAAGTCTCGTTTTTCTATCTGAAAAAATAAAACAGTTATAGGGATGAGCCACTTTTGGGACGCACCTGGTATAGTTTTATATGAAATAAAATTTTAGAAATATCACTACTATTTCTCTAATTTTACTTGGTATATACCACGTATTTTTGTAAGAATTTCATTAAAGTGCGTCTGCTGGATCTGTGTCTATGAAAGGAATGCGGACAAAAACATTTAAATAAACAGCAATATATTTTATACGTCGACTTGACGAGTACGTCACCGCAAATCGCTCCGCCCACTCACTTTATTGACTACTTGCAAATTTGTCGAATTTTTATTGATGGGACGCGTCCTCTAATTTTTTACGAAAAACATCGAGAGAATATCGTTTCCCCTCTCACGGATACCCTGTAGCTACAGAACGGACAGACGCACTGTACATGTTTCCATGAAGTACCTATATACATAGTAGAAAAATAAAATATGTTTTGTCCATATTCTATTGTTTTATGATAGAAACAGATATGATTTGAGACGAGCAATAGATCAAGAGATATAAAATTATTTTTAACCTTATTATTCATAAATTATATTTTTTCTATGTAATATGATAGTCTTAGCCTGATGGTATGGAATTAACCCTGGCATTAGTAACTCATTTGGCAAAGTAAAATCTTATAAAACATTAAAGAAGGCAGTTCTGACAATTTTATTTTTTGTTTATCGTTAAATTAACCTAATGATTTCTAAAAAAATGTATAATTAAATAGAGTCACTTAAATTATTGATATATATTTTTATAAAATTATACAAGATCATAGATATGCTTTTAATACAATATTAAAGGTTATATCAAATATATAGATAATAAATAATATTAATAGGAGAAATTGAGTTATAATATTTTTTAAACAATTAATTATAGTTACAGTAGTAATTTTACATTTTCTTAATAGTTAGCTATTAAAGATAATTTATCATATGTTCAAATTATGACATATATATTTCTGCAGTTTAGGAGTGTGATATAGCATTAAAATTTTATTTTATATAAGGATGTATTATATTAATTTATCAAACACATTTTTAAGTAATTAAGGTTTTAAAATTTTGATATAATTTTGAGAACCTCAATCACGAATTATTAACAATTTAAGGCCACAAACATCTACAGCTGTATAAAATAAAACATTATATATAAAACAACCTCAGAATTCCCAACTGGCAAAGTACGACAGGGAGACGCGCTATCCCCAAAGCTGCATGTTTACAGAAACACTAGAAGAAATCTTCCGTCAGCTAGATTGAACCAACAAAGGATTGATAATAGATGGAAAATATCTTAACCATCTAAGATATGCTGATGACATAGTCTTAATTGTGAATAGTCCTGAAGAACTACAAGCGCAAATTAACAAACTAAATACAGTCAGCAATAAAGCTATCGGAATACATCAACTTTTGATGTTTCTTCAGAGTCAGTCAGAACTAACTACCACAGTGACATGGTTAAGTTGGCCTTGGTCCAGTCAATCGAAATACCAAATTTCATTTATATCGGACGATTTTTTCGCCCTTGATGATGGGGTTTCATAGTGCACGAAACGTCGTCAAAATATCATGAGGAGCTCTAAGAGCCCCATTTACATTCCGAGTTTCAACCCCCTAGCTCACATTAGGGCCCGAGTTACGACGCGCCGACGACGCTCTAAAGACCCATCTCAACTTCCTTGTTGACTTACCACTATTTCGATCGTTACCACTAGCTCGTGTCATGCGTGTCGTGATGCTAGCTCGTGTGTCGCGGCCTTGAATTTTTACTCCCGAAGCGTCAAAAATGGCACCTAAGTTGGCTTGGAAATGATGATCGATGTGTCATTATATAATTGTACATTATATAATTGTACATATACTACATATAAATTGACAGCGATTTTCATTTCGTGTTATGTACAGTACATTAAATTAGCAAATGGTTAAACTTTTTTTTGTAAAACATTAACGCATAACTAGGCTTGTCAATGTGAACAATTGATATAAAAATAAGAAGAAGAATTCAAAAAAATACATTATTACCGTATACTGAATTAAAGGTAGGATATTTACAACAGTGTGAAGTTCAAGGTATAGAAAAGTAGGTTGAAACCGTCAAACGCTCTTAAATAAATATACCTAACGTATTAAGGTACATTCAGGCTGAGAGCGTCGAGCGTCGCGTCGGGTTTGCGTCGCGTCCGCTTGTCGAAATGGAATCAATTCGCTTAACTTAAATTAGACCGTTCGGGCAGACAGCGTCGCGTTTGGCGTTGCGTTAGCGCGCGTTGAGCGTCGGGGTTCGAGTTCAATGAGGCCGACGCGACGCAAACGCGACGCGACGCTCGACGCTCTTAGCCTGAATGTACCTTTATGCGGAAATGCGTAAACGCGTTAAAATGAGTAATTTTGCATAAATACATAAGTATGTATAAAGAATAAGTATATGTATAATTTCTTGTGATTATTAAATATTAATTAAACTAACATCTCCGTAATGTATATAGTTCAGTAATGCGGAAATATCACAATGTTGTCGTTCTTTTAACGTTTTACATGTCAACCACGATAATTAATTAGTTTTTCTAAGCAACTTTTATTTGTAACATAATGCCTGTTTATTAATGTTAGCATTAATTAATTATTAATTTAAATTTGCAAGTGTTTGGTTTTAGATTTTATCAGTTTATCAATC